AGGCGGAGGATTAACCAAGTGAGCCATGGCGCCGGCGCCGCCTCCTTTTTTATAAAAAAAATTTATTTATTTGAGAGGCAGAGAGACAGAGATGAGAGAGAGAGTGTGTTAGCTGTCTGCAATCCAGTGATTCATTTTCCCAAATGCCCACAACAGCTGGGGCTTGACTGGGCTGGTCCAGGCTGGAGCCAGGAACTAGAAACTCAATACAGGACTTCCATGTGGTTAGCAAGAACTGGGTCACTTGAGCCATCTCTGTGCCTCCCAGGGTGTATATTGGCAGGAGGCAGGAGGCTGGAGTCAGTTTCCAGAGCTGGACTCAGACCCAGGCATCCTGATACTGGGTGCTGCTGTCTAAACCATTAGCTAAATGCCCACCGTGTGCCTCTTCATCTCTGTTGCTGTTTTCTCTATTGGAAATGTGGCAGTTTTCAGTTCTTTAGACTTTAACGTCATCCTATCATGAAACTTTTCCTTTGCCTCTTGGGACTCCATTCTCCTGATTCTTGCCACGTCCTGGATGATTTTTTCCTGGAGTCTTGCGGTGCCTGTGGAGGCTGGGCTCCTACTTGCTCTCGGTTCTGTCTGCGTGTCAGAGGGGTCCCAGCTGTACGCATGATGTCCGCTACCACCCATTCGCAGTCTTTGTTTTTAGGGCAAACTCTCCCGCTGAACCCCACATCTGTATTTTCAGATCTTTTCCAGACTTCTTCCTTTTTTTCTTTTCTATCTGGATGCAGGATGCCACCAGTTGCCCGTCACCCAGAAAAGACACCTTGGTGAGATGAATGCCTCCCTCCTCACTTTCCACACTCACTAGGGCACCAAGCCTACTGATTTTACTGCTTAGATTCCTGGCTCTCATACCTGCCTTCCCATTTCTGTCCTTATTGCTTTAGCCTAGACCCTCATTGTTTGCCTCCTCATTCTGTTTCTTAATTCCTCTCTCACCATGCAGTTATCACCTCTCCTTTCTCCCTACTTCCAAATACAATACTCTGTTAAAGGCCGAGTGCTTGCTATTCTAATTTACGTGTATGGTGTTTTGTGCTCTTATGTAACCATCATGTAGAATTGATTTCATCCCTTTTACTTTGGAGGAGAGTAGCTCCAGGCCTCACAGATAGTGAAGGGGGGACAGGGATTTGGTCCCAGGCTTTATGTTCCAGAACCCAACTCACTTCCAACCTTTTCCTGGTTCCCTGTGTCATTTTTGAGTGGCCTTTAAAATCTTTACCTAATTGGCCTCTCATCTGTTTTTATTGTTTGATTTCTTCCTACTCTGCCTAATATCTTTACTGTTTAATTTTCTCCTGTCCTACCTAACAGACCTGGAATTTCAGGTTGCTGAACCTCTTGGTCTTCCTCGAAGGTGTTGTGTGTCTGAACACATTCGCTCTGCAATATTGAATCCCTGCTTCTTTATCTGTCCTTCAAGGCCCAGCTTACGTGACATCTCCTCTTGGGAGGGTTCCTGACTGTTGCTGAACACCCCTCTGCTCCTGCTCCTCAGTGAGCTTCTGCCCTGCTCCAGGAATACCCCACATGCACACTGCCTTATTTATGTTTATAGCAGTCATAAATGTGTATCCATATTTAAAGAAATTGTAAGTTACAGAGGTAGCAGGAAATGTTCTCATAAAGTCCACACCAAGTTTCCCTCGATTCCTGTTCTCTGTCACTGAAGTACATTCGTTACGACTAAGAAACTAATGTTGGCACCCTACTATTGACTAAATTTGGTACTTTTAATTCAGATTTCACCAGTTATTCCCCTGTGTTTTTTTCTATTCCATTCGAGATAGCACATTTAGTCATTTCTCCCTGGTGTCCTGTGGTCTCTGATAGTTCCTAGTCTCTTCTTATCCTTGGTGAACTTGACAGCTTTGAGAAGCACCAGTAAGGTCTTTTGCAGAATGTCCCTGAACTTGAGCTTTTGTCTGATGTTTTCCTTATGGTTAACCTAAAGCCATGGGTTTTGGGGAGGAGACCACAGAGGCCCTATCCAGGACCTGTGATGGCAAGAAGGCTGGCACTGGTGATGCTGGCCCTGATCGCCTGGCTGACAGTGGCAGCTGGGTCGTGACAGTAAAGGTACTTTCTGCTTTTCTAATACTCTTGTCTTTGGAAGCAGGAACATATCACACAGCCCCTAACTCAAGGTACAGTGATGGTAAGCTAGAGAGGGGTATTATTGGCATAATTTATTTGGAATTCCTCTGTAAGGAAGATCTGCCTCTTTTCCCTTACATCCTTCTTCAGTCATTAAATCAACATAAATTCATTTATTTTATACTTTAGATTATAATACAATATTTTGTTATTCATTTTGTTTTCAAATTGTTCCAGCTGTAGTCTTTGGAAGCTCTTTCAGGCTGGTTCCTGTGTCCTTTCGACATGCCCCCCTTCCCAGCCGTTTCTCCAGGGAGTCTGTATTGGTCACTTTTCCATTACTCTGGCTGAATACCTGAGACAGGCTGACTTTACCAAGAAAAGCTGTTTATTTAGCGTGTAGTTTCAGAGGCTGAAAGTCTTAAGATCAGGTGGCCGTATTGATTTGACCTCTGGAGCAGATGCCATCACACTGGGAGTGTGTGTGTGTGTGTGTGTGTGAGAGAGAGAGAGCAAGAGGTCACACTGCCAGCCAGGAGGCCTGAGAGCTGTGGGGGTCAGGTTTGCTCTTTCTTTAACACCAACTGTGAGAACAGACTCAGGGATCCTAAACATTCTATTCATTTATTTAAAAGGGAGAGAGAAGGCAATACACACACACACACGACATAGAAAAAGGTCTCCCATCTGCTGGTTCACCTCTCAGATGCTACTTTTTTTTTTTTTTTTTTTTGGACAGGCAGAGTGGATAGTGAGAGAGAGAGACAGAGAGAAAGGGAGAAAGGTCTTCCTTTTGCCGTTGGTTCACCCTCCAATGGCCGCCGCGGCTGGCCATTGTAGATGGCCCGCACATTGCGCTGATCCGAAGGCAGGAGCCAGGTGCTTCTCCTGGTCTCCCATGGGGTGCAGGGCCCAAGGACTTGGGCCATCCTCCACTGCACTCCCGGGCCACAGCAGAGAGCTGGCCTGGAAGAAGGGCAACTGGGAAAGAATCCGGCGCCCCGACCGGGACTAGAACCCTGTGTACTGGCGCTGCTAGGTGGAGGATTAGCCTAGTGAGCTGCGGCGCTGGCCTTCAGATGCTACTTGAGAAGTACCCGGCCTCTAGTTATCCAAGGACCTCCCCTGGGCCCCACCTCTCCCACGGCTGCCGTATACAAAATCTCGAAAATGTAATGTATTTTACATAAAAATTCAGCATTTTAGCAAAATCTTTGTAAATAAGTCCTGTTGTGAAGTTTGAAGGAAAACATAATTGCTTTATTATGTCAGCAATAGAATCGTGCCCTGCACAGTGGCGTTGTGATTAGTGATGGGCCCCGGTGTTACGTTGCCCAGAGGTGCGTGGCTGTGCTAGTTTAAGTGCACAGCGACATTCACACAGCAATGCGTTTCCCATAACATACACCATCATCAAGCAGCACATGACTGTGTATCTTCATTGTAGATGGCTTAGAAAATAGGAAAAATGAGAAGAAAGCATCTCTAATTCTCTCACCTAAGTCTAACACTTAATAACTTGGAATTTGTCACTTTAGAATTGTACTTTGTGTGTACATGTTCTACACATTTTTTACAAAAATGTTCATACTTAACCCTACTGATTTATAATCTTTTTTTCTACTTAATACAGCTGTATTTTTTAAAAAATATATATTTACTTGAAAGTCAGAGTTACACAGAGAGAGGAGAGGCAGAGAAAGAGAGAGAGGTCTTCTATCCGCTGGTTCACTCCCCAGATGGCCACAACGGCCGGAGCTGTGCCAATCGAAAGCCAGGAACCATGGACTTGGGCCATCTTCTACTGCTTTCCCAGGCCACAGCAGAGAGCTGGATCGGCAGTAGAGCAGCCAGGTCTCAAACAGGCGCCTACATGGGATGCCGGCACCACAGGCGGCAACCTCACCTGCTATGCCACAGCACCGGCTCCATACAGCTGTATTTTTTTTTAAAAGATTTTATCTGTTTATTTTGAAAGAGTTGGGAGAGGGGGGAGGAGAGAGAAAGAGAAAGATCTTTGATCCACCTGTTTACTCCCCAGATGGTTGCAACAAAAATTCTTCCAGGTCTCCCATGTGGGAGTACTTGGGCCATTATCAGCTTCCTTCCCAAGCCATTAGCGGGGAGTGGGATTGGAAGCAGAGCAGCCGGGACACGAACTGGCTCCCATAGGGCATGCTGACGTTACAGGTGGCAGCCTTACCACAGCACCGACTCCCAACTATATTTTTTAGAATAGGTGTGTCATATAGTTGTCATTGTAAGCCCTGATGAATATCTTCTTAGAGGGCTTGGTGTGCTGTTCTTATGGTTTCCTTTAGATGTATTCCTTTTATTTATTTATTTATTTATTTATTTATTTGACAGGTAGAGTTAGACAGTGAGAGAGAGAGACAGAGAGAAAGGTCTTCCTTCCGTTGGTTCACCCCCCAAATGGCCGCTGCGGCCAGCACACCATGCTGATCCAAAGCCAGGAGCCAGGTGCTTCTCCTGGTCTCCCATGGGGTGCAGGGCCCAAGCACTTGGGCCATCCTCCACTGCCTTCCTGGGCCACAGCAGAGAGCTGGACTGGAAGAGGAGCAACTGGGACTAGTACCCGGCACCCATATGGGATGCCAGCGCCGCAGGCGGAGGACTAACCAAGTGAGCCACGGCGCCAGCCCCCAGATATATTCCTAAAAGGATTGCTGGATAAGTGGACTTCAATATTTCTGGCGCATGTTTCTTGGGGTGAGCATTTTACATTGAGCATCTGGTTTTACATTGCTCTCCTGGGAAGCGCTCTCAACACCCCGAGATCTTGCCTCCCTCCTTCAGGGTTGTGAATACATAGTTTGTCTTTAGAGCCAGTCACTCACCCTGTTCATGTGATTCATTTACCTGCGTAGAGCATCGTGTCAAAGAACGCGCTGCAGTATCGGGGGAATTCCCAGCACGATGCCCAGGAGTTTCTGCTGTGGCTTTTGGACCGAGTTCACGAAGACCTCAATCATGCAGTGAAGCAGAGCGGCCAGCCCCCCGTGAAGGTGAGATGCGCCCTTGGTTGGGCAGTCAGCGGGTGAGGAGGCAGAGGGTTCTTCTCCCAAGCCTCCACCGAGGACTTGGGTATGTGTTAATACTATGATGATAATGGGTGAGAATAAAATTCAGTGGGTACTTAGAGGTTATTTTACCTGTTTACTTCAAGAAACACTGGCCTCAGGAGAGGAGTAACATCTGCTTGTCAAACTAAAGAGTTGCTTCCCTCATACAGCTTTTTAAGTTCTTTTTTTAAAGATTGTATTTATTTGACAGGTAGAGTTACAGACAGTGAGAGGGAGAGACAGACAGGTCTTCCATCCACTGGTTCACTCCTCAAATGGCTGCAATGGCTGGAACGGGGCCATTCCAGAGCCAAGAGTCTCCTCCAGGTCTCCCATGTGGGTTCAGGGTCTCAAGCACTTGGGCCATCCTCCACTACTTTCCTAGGCCATCAACAGAGAGCTGGATTGGAAGAGGAGCAGCCAGGACTTGAACCGGCAGCTATACAGGATGCCAGCACCATAGGCGGAGGATTAACCTACTTCACCACAGCATCGGCCCCTAAAGTTCTTGATAATTCTGCTTTATACTGCAAATTTTTAATCTCTAGTCTTGTTAAATGTTAAATTGTTTCTCTGATTGAAGTTCTTTTTGTGCTAGACACCCTATACTGCTATATGTCTACGTGTCTGGCTAACTCCTATCAATAGACATCTCAGGGTCAGACGCTGTGTCTCATATTTCTTTATATCCTAATACCCTGTGCACGTGGTGGCAGATGCTCAGTTACCAATGGTCAGGTGGAGGAACATGGAAGGGTTAAGGAAAGTGTGAAGCACAGTGTGACTAGGGCCACAGTGAACAGCACAGCTCATAGATGCTAGAGAATCTAAGCATGGGAAGAAGTGTATATCTCAGAGTGGTTGGGGATCATTTCCTGGAAGACCTGTGGGTGGGGGACTGGAAGTTGGAGGAAGATTGGACATCCTTTGGGGAGGAGAGCTGCCCAGCTGTGTGAACATGGTGAAGATGGATAAACATGGCAGAATCTGAGGAGGTGAGTCCATGTGACCCACGAGCAGGTGCCCGTCACTGAAGCATCTGCACTTGATGGGTGGCTGTCAAGAAGGTCAGGGATACTTGTGACCTTTTAGGTTCATTTTCAGTCAAGAGTTGTCACTTCCAGTCTGAAATTGTGCTTCCTTCTCTGTAGCCACCGTCAGAGACTGATATGATGCCCGAGGGACCATCATTTCCTGTCTGCAGCACTTTCGTACAAGAACTTTTTCAAGCCCAGTACAGGTATGAGCACATGAAATGTTCCTTCTTTTGTTTACTAACCATAGTTGTAGGTAATCTTAATGTGAATATCTTACATTTTTGTTTTTGAAGATCTTCTTTGACATGTCCTCATTGTCAGAAACAGAGCAACACTTTTGACCCTTTCCTCTGCATTTCGTTGCCAATTCCTCTGCCACATACCAGGTAAGAACAGATTCAGTAAAATGGAGTACATTTTGTTGGTTCCTTTTCCACTGTAGGTTCTATCAGGTCTTCTCATTTATTTAGACAGATCATGGGATTAACGAGAAGTTGAATCCAATCAGTGTGCAGGGTGGGCAGGTACACAAGGCGGGTAATGTTGGCATCTGGTTAGTTGGTCATCCACAGACAGTATGGGTAGGGGTAAGGTAGTTGGGTGACTTATAAATTGTCTAGAGACTTTACTGAGCACTTTGAATGACCACTTTTATTTTCAACTGTTTTTCAAAATTTCCAGGAGTCAGGCTGTTTTAAAGAAAATACAAAGTCAAGTATGAATGTTATATGTATATATTTTTTAAAGATTTATTCTGAAAGAGTTAGAGATCTTCTGTCTACTACATCACTCCTCAGATGACCGCAACAGCCAACGCTGGGCCGGGCTAAAGCCAGAAGCTTCATCTGAGTCTCCCATGTGGGTGGCTGGGGCCAAACACTTGGGCCGTCTTCCGCTGCTTTTCTTGAGCAATGAGCAGGGAGCTGGATTGGAAGTAGCCAGGACACAGAGCATAGGGGATGCCGCATCGCAGGTGGTGGCTTTGCCCGCTCCGCCAAGACGCTGCCCCAGATACTTGCTAGCTTTGCTTCATGAAGAATGCCCTTTCCAAAGCTCTCTTGATTATTGTTTGATAGTTCCACTTAGGGCCACACGAAGTTTCCCCACTTGGCTTCTAAATAAAAGTGTGGATTAGCTTCAATTTCTGTTGATTTCAGAGCAGGTTTATTTTGCTTATTTTTTGGTGCAAATTTCTTTCACCAAAGTTAATTTATCTTTTAATTCCCTTTTTCTGTGAGCTTTTGGAAGTGCCCTCATGGTTGAGTTGAAATAGGTGACTAATGAGAGAACCTGGCTTTGATCTGTGCAGGCCTCTCTATGTCACTGTAGTGTACCAAGGGAAATGCTCTCACTGCATGAGGATCGGCGTGGCTGTGCCTCTGTCTGGGACTGTCGCCAGACTCCGGGAAGCAGTGTCCATGGAAACAAAGATCCCCACTGATCAGGTAATGGGCCTGCTAAGACCAGCTACACATGAGTCACTAACGTGTCGCTTTCTGTTCTCCTGGAATTTAAGAGTTCTCTGCCAAATGGTGTTAGATAGAAATTTAAAACTAGTTACATCTAGTGTTGAGGAGGAAAAAAAAAAAAATCAAGACTCCAAAGAATAAAAGGTATAGAAAAACTCTGCATGTTTCATTTAATTATTATATATCGTTAAAAGGAAAAGCTATGACTTTACACCAGAGCCTTCTTATAGATTTGTTTATAAGAATAATTACCTAGCCACTCTTAAATCATTCTGATGAATGGCACGTCCCTATGGTATTAGATCACCAGGGAGGCTTACAAATCCACAGAGGTGATGAGAGTGGAGGTCATCCTGCTGGCATGGTGTCCTGTCCATAGTACATGCTTAATGCATTTTTGTTTTCTGATTAAAACTGGACCCCAGTCTCTTACCTCATTTAGATAATTGAAAGTTGTGTGCCTCCTTTGTGGGCACATCTTTGGTAAGCATTATATTTAAATTGACCAAAGGTACTCTTGACCTCTTTGTGACTTGATACAGTTTTGTATAGTTTTTACTCAGTAATTCACTTACGATTTTATGTGGAGGAACATTCCTTATGTAGGATTTACTAAGGAAAGATGGCTTAGTGGTTAAATAGCTTTCCCTAGATAGCTTCTGGAAAGCTGCTATGTAATCACTTGAATAATAAAGGTGTTTTGTGCTTTGGCCTCATGTGGCCTCGTTTGGGAAGTTCCCACAGTAAAACAAATACAGCCAGCAGTGTTGCCCCAGGACAGCAAATATCTCATATTTTTGTAGGCCGTGTGCTGGCACGTTGATACAATGTTCATACCCTTCATACCCTTCCTTCCTCTGAAGAAGCGCATTGATTCCTTTTCCCCCTAAAGGACGAGTGGTGAGACAGGGAGGAACGGAGGCTTTGGCAGTGTCCAAGGCGAATCTGGTTGCATCTTTAAAGCTTCCAGTGCTATCTGGCTCTGCTTGCATGTGGTTTAAATTGGTGAAATAATTACAAGTTTGCTTTCACCCTCAGCTTGCTGGAAAGAGTGAATTACACTTGCATGTTACTGGTAGAAAAACAACATGGCTGTTAAATTTATTAGAAGGAAATATGCCAGGAACATTCTTCCTGGGCTGTTTGTGGACCATGCAGCAGCCTCTTTCTCCGAGACTGTGAGTGCTGTGCAGGGGGCCTTTCACGTGTATAGTCCAGTCCTCCCCCTCCCCCCCTTTGAGGGACACCAGAGACACCATGTGCCTTGCTGAGGGTCACAGGGCTGGTTGGTGGCAGGCTGGGACTGGAACCTCTTCATGGCCACCCCAGGGATTTTTGGCTAGGACAGTAATGAAGTCTCTGAATGTCTCCATTGTTCCCCACCCCCCTCGTCTTTCTATTGCATTGTAGAATACCCTATTTCAGAAATAATAACTTAGAAAGTGAAAATTTTAAGTATCTTAGTACTAAAGGTTGCTAGATTTGATACTATGTTATATGATATTCAGATTTTTCTGTGCATATGCTACATTATTTTGTAAAAAATTATTTTTATATATTGTTCTTTACCTTTTTATTTTCTCAGATCCTCCCAAGTCAGTGTACATATGGTGTCTTTAGAAGGTTTATGGAAAATTTGCTTTGTTTTTTCATTTCATTTTCCACAAACTTTTTGAAGGCCCTCATAATATAGTGCTTTAATTTCAGTAGTATATTCCATCAGTTACTGTTGTTTCACATTTGGGTTAACTTCAATTTTTTCTAAAACAAATATGCATGGTTACTTGACATTTTTAACCTGAAAAGCTCTAAAATTTAACGATGTGGGAGAAAGGCTCCGAGTCAGACATGGACTCTGTCCTGGCTGTGAGAGTGAAAGTTGCAGGCCCGTAGGCAGGTCTCACAGCCTCTTCCCATGGGAACGAGGTAAGGTTAGACTCTGTAATCTCCTGGGTCTTCTCCCCCAGAGCTTAAAGGAACTCTGGGTTCAGTGCCAGAGAGTTCTGAAATCAGACATATTGTTACGTTATCCAGAGGACACTGTGCTTCCAAGACTCTCTCATTCGAAGCACATGATGAGGGCTCTGTGAGATGTGTCTGAGCCCTCTCAGTCCCCTGCTGGTCTTGGTGAACTAGAACAGTTCCAAGTAGAATTGGGAGACCAACTTGTATTGATGCCCAGCTGTTTACATTTTCCCCACTTTTAGATTGTGTTAACGGAAATGTACTATGATGGGTTCCATCGTTCCTTCTGTGATACAGATGACCTGGAAACAGTCCATGAAAGCGACTGCATTTTTGCCTTTGAGACTCCAGAAATATTTAGGCCTGAAGGAATTCTCAGTCAAAGAGGTAAATGAGCACCTGTTTCCATCATAGCACCTGGGTTTGCAGGTTGAACAACCATTTACCCTTTTATGTCTATTACACGATAGTATCCATTTCTTAAAAACTGTGATAGAGTATATATAACACATCTTTTAAATAATGGTACAACTTTTATGGTAACATGTTTCCCTAGAAAGACAGCTGTGACTGTTTTAGGCAAAGATAGGTCCGTAGTTGGCATAGCCCCTTATGAGAGTTTAGTGCTTGATTGTATCTTCCCTTTACATGGCCTTTGCTGTGTCTTATGAAGGCACATAGGAAGGTAGACTGTCCTGTGGCTTTAAAAAAATTATTTTTTAAAATTTTGCTGCAGCTCTTATGTTTAATTTCTCAATTCTAAAATCTTTACTACAGGAAAGGGTGGGGAATGTCCAGCTTGCAGGCTGCCCGAGGCCCATGGGACCATTTGGTCTGGCTGTGCCAAAGCGACTGCAGGAGAAATTTAATACATCTAGATAGTTTTTAGGTTGATAATTTTGTATGGCCCTTGGCAGGAAAAAAAGGTTCTCTAACCCTGCTATAGAGTTTTCTTGGTATTTGCTTTTAGGAAATGTGCATGTCACTCTTGACTGATATGGAGCAAAATGAACTAAAACTCTGGGCAGTGCCAGTCCTTGTACTGCCTGCAGTTTGGGCTGTGACTGGGAGCTTAGCCTGTTTTTCCATTGTGCTTGGGGGGTGATGGGAACTGTTGTGAGTTTGTGAGTTGTCAAGCAATTCAAAGGTTGTCCCTGGTTTTAGTGTTCCTAACGGTTCTTTCTGGGTCCCCTTTTCTTTTCCTCTACTGCAGTGGTTATTAATGCATCAAGTTTACCTGGGAACTGATTAGAAATGCAAATTCTTGGACCTCGCCCTAGACCAAGTGTAAGAGACACCCTGGGAGCGGGGCCCAGCAATCTGTTTTTAATAAGTCCCGTAGGTGATTTCGCAAACTGAAGTTTTGAGAAATATTGCTCCACCCAGGCTTATCAGTATTTCCTACTGCCATGATTTTAGAACTAAATTTCCCTACCAGCCTCCATTTTTCTTCTGGTTATGTTTCCATTCCCTGACTTTGACCTATCTACTGGAATTCTACTTAGAAGTCCCATGGGCATCTTAAAAAAACAAACAAAAATAAAAACAAAAAACAACAACAACAAAAAAAACAAACCAAGAAGGTTGATTTATTTGAGAGGTAGAACATCAGAGAGTGAATGAGCAAGAGAGAGAGGTTGATTTTTCCATCCAGTGATCCACTCCCGCAATGGCCACAACACCAGGTATGGTCCAAGCCAGAACCAGGAACTCTATATGGGTCTCCCACATGAGTGGCGGGGACCCAAGCACGGACTGTCATCTGCTGCCTTTTCAGGTGCATTAGCTGGATCAGAAAGCAGAGCACGTGGGACTTGAACCAGCACTGGGATATGGGATCCCCACATGCTGGTCCCTCACAGGCATCTTACTATACTCAGCATTTCTTTCTTAAATGGGTTCTTCCCGTATTTCTTTGAATGAAAAAAAAAAAAAGCTAAAACTAAGGAGATAGCAATTGTAATAAGGAAAAAAAATTTGGACTGAATAGGGTACTGAGACTGCAAGATAAAATGGTTTCTGCCTGTAGGAAGAGATCGTGCCCCAGATTCCAGGAGGTGGAAATAGTATACTTTAATATGACAGAAATAATGTATTTCAAGTTACGCACAGACATTAAAAGACACATACAAAGAACAATGACTTTAATGTCAGGAATTTTTAAAATTTATGTTATATTCCCATTATGTAATATTGTTTGGGCTGTTCTGGCCAGTGCTGTAAGGCACAAAAAGCAGTGAGAAATCAGTGTTGATTCAAGGTAGTTCTTGTTGGAGTAGTATTGGGAATTCTCTCTCTCTCTCTCTAGTTGTTTAGACATGAACTTAGAAACAGTCTGTTAAAAAGAGATGGAAGTAGAAGGGGATGGATGGAGAGGGGAGAGAGATTGTCTTTTGCTGCAGACTTTGACAGAACTCAGACCCTAGGAGATTACTGATTGCATCTAAGGGTCCTTTAATTACCTCAATTTTATTAAATTTTTGTTTGGTCAATCATCAGTAATGGCTTGGAGACCTCTTTTCAGTTTTTTTTTTTTAACATAGTCTGCATGGTAGAATCATCTGAGAATCCTAAAAAGAAAAACAGATGCCTGGAACCCTCCTTTGATCAGTTAAGTCAGTATTTCTGGAGGATGGGCCTGGACTTTCATATTTGGAAAAAAAAAGATTTCAATATACTGCCCAAATTAACCACTGGTGAGGGGGAAGAGGGAAGCACTACTTTGAATGCAATCTTCTCTTTTCCTGTTATTTAGTTTACAATTAAAAAGCTTATTTATCTATTTGCACTTTATTTTTAAAGCAGAGAGAGGGAGGACGAGGGAGAGAGGATCTTCCATTTGCTGTCTCACTCCACAAATGGGTGCAACAGCCAGGGCTGGCTCAGGCGGAAGCCTGGGTGGCAGAGGGCTTGGGCCATCACCTGTGCCTCCCAGGGTGTGCATTAGCTGGAAGCCGGATCAGAAGCAGAGGATCAGGCTCTCTGATGTGGGATGTGGTGTCCCTAGTGACGTTTTAACTGTTCAGTCAAATACCTGTCTCAATAGTTAACATTTTATGACTGTTTTAATTAGTTTATCCTTTTAAGGGTGAATTACAGAATAATATTTTCAAGTCTCCCTAATCCTCTTTGGATTGGATTCTTAGTGTAGAATTAACTGGGAGAGGGTGTGTTTCCCACAGCACTGAGCCTTCTCCTTCATGACAATGCTGTCTCCACTTAGTTATGCCTTCCATATTCCTGTGGAAGTGCTGTGACTTCCCCATCTAGTTCACTTACGTGTCAAGGTTATTCATGTGTGCTTTATTGCTGTTGTAATAACTCCTCTTCCCTTGTTGTATATTTTCACCAGATATGCTGATTTTCAGGGAGTTACTAATTTTTGCAGACATTTTTGAATTGATAAGCATTCTAAAATCTTATCTGTTGGTTTTCTAGAGAATCACAAAATCAACAAATAGTGTTATTTTATCTCTTGCTGTCTGGTAGTTAGATATTTTATCTTTATTTATTTTTAAGATTTTATTTATTTGAGAGGAAGAGCTATATAGAGAGAGACGGAGAGAAAGGTGTTCCATCTGCTGGTTCATTCCCCAAATGGCCGCAACTAGCAGAGCCAGGCCATTCCGAAGCCAGGAACCAGGAGCTTCTTCTGGGTCTCCACATGGGTACAGGAGCCCAAGGACTTGAGCCATCTTCCATTGCTTTCCCAGGCCATAGCAGGGAGCTGGATCGGAAAAGAAACAGCCAGGACATGAACCAGCACCCATATGGGATGGCTTAGCCTACTATGCCACAGTGCTGGCCCCAGATATTTTTTTTTGAAGTCTGGTTTTACTACATTTGTTAGAAACTATAGAACCTTAATGAATTACATTGATGATGGTCATTGCGTCCTTGTTTTATTTTTTGACTAATGAGAATTTCTCTCATTATACGTATTTGATATGATATTGCTGTTGGCTTGGGATATCTATTATTTATGTTGATTTTTTAAAAAAATTTCTAGTGTACTAGGAAGGAGATAAGATTCTGGGTAGGCATTTGATAAACTACGTGACGGTGATGATAATGATGGCATTTCCTGAGTGCTTTCTGTGTGCTAGACAGAATCTATCTGTTTCACGTGTCAGCTTCTCAGTAGTAGTAACCCTGAGGTTGCTGCTGTTCCTCTTGTCACATTTCTCATGAGCAAACCTAAGGCACAACAAGGCCAGCTTAGCCAGCCTGGCTGCAGAGCTTCCATCTTAGTCATGCCAGAGGGCCTGACAGTTTCCCCATTTGTTTATTGATAGATGACTTGATGTGTATTGTTCTAGTGTTGAACCATTCTGGAATTCCTTGGTTTAGTATGTTTTTTCTGTCCTTTCTTTTTTTTTAATTTTTTGACAGAGTGGACAGTGAGAGAGAGAGAGAGAGACAGAGAGAAAGGTCTTCCTTTGCCGTTGGTTCACCCTCCAAAGGCTGCCGCGGCCGGCACACCACGCTGATCCGATGGCAGGAGCCAGGTACTTATCCTGGTCTCCCATGGGGTGCAGGGCCCAAGTACTTGGGCCATCCTCCACTGCACTCCCTGGCCACAGCAGAGAGCTGGCCTGGAAGAGGGGCAACTGGGACAGAATCCGGCGCCCCGACTGGGACTAGAACCCAGTGTGCCGGCGCCGCAAGGCGGAGGATTAGCCTAGTGAGCTGCGGCGCCGGCTGTCCTTTTTTTTTTTTTTTTTTTTAAGATTTTATTTATTTATTTGAGAGGTAGAGTTACATACAGTGAGAATGAGAGACAGAAAGGTCCTCCATCTGCTGGTTCACTCCCCAAATGGTCACTATGGCTGGAGCTGTGCCGATCCGAAGCCAGGAGCCAGGAGCTTCCTCCAGTCTCCCATGTGGATGCAGGGGCCCAAGGACCCGGCCATCTTCTACTGCTTTCCCAGGCCATAGCAGAGAGCCAGATTGGAAGAGGAGCAGCCAGGACTAGAACCGGCACCCATATGGGATGCTGGCACCACAGGTGGAGGATTAACCTACTACACCACGCGCCAGCCTCTCCTTTTTTATTTTTTTTTTTAAAGATTTATTTATTTGAAAGTCAGAGTTACACAGAGAGAGGAGAGGCAGAGAGAGAGAGAGAGAGAGAGGTCTTCCATCCGATGGTTCACTCACCAATTGGCCACAATGGCCGGAGCTGCACCGATCCAAAGCCAGGAGCCAGGAGCCTCCTTCGGGTCTCCCACATGGGTGCAGGGGCCCAAAGACCTGGGCCACCTTGTACTGCTTTCCCAGGCCATAACAGAGAGCTGGATTGGAAAAGGAACAGTCAGGGCTTGAACCGGCACCCATATGTGATGCCGGGGCTTCAGGCCAGGGCATTAACCCTCTGTGCCACAGCGCCAGCCCCTCCTTTTTTTTTTTTTTAACTAAAAATTTTTATTTGAAAGGCAGACTGAGAGTGGGTGTCAGACGGAGCTCCCATCGGCTGGCCCTCACTCTTCACATGCCCACAATAGCTGAGGTTGGGCCAGGGCTGGGGGCACAATGCAGAGCTCCGGCTTGGGTGGCAGGAACCCTGTTACTTGAGCTCTCACCGCTGTCTCCCAGGTGGTGCATTAGCAGAAAGCAGGAGTCAGGAGCTGGCACTTAGGATCGAACTCAGGCACGGGTGGTATGGGGTGTGGGTGCCTTAAACCACTAGACTAAATGCCCCTCCCGGTTTTTCTTTTAACATTTTATTTTTAGGAGTGTTTTCCAAGTCGATCTGCTAATTTTCTCATTTAGTTTTTAGCAGGATCTTGTGTGTTATTTAACAGAGGCTTGTCGAGCTTTTATGTAAGTGATTATCTTGAAGACCATCTTGCTCTCTGAATGCTCCTTTTTCATGGTAACCCTTGTTTTATGGATATAAAGTCTCCTTGTGGTTATAAGTTAGTTCCACAAATCTTAGCTGCTGATTTTTCTGTTTATCTTCATGGGTTAAGTAATACTGCCACACTTTTTTGATTGTTGGATTTAGGCATTATCTATGGACTCTGTACTGAGGAAGGTGTGGATTTAGCCCTTTCTTCCTCCTATTCTCCTGGTGCTCCCCACCACCCTCCCAGCACAGGGCCATCATGATTTTGATTTGGATGGTATTTAGTGTCTATGTAATTCTATGTCAGGAACTTCAGTTTCCTGTGTAACTGTTTTCCCTAGAGCTGATAATTTTCTTTACTGAACTTATTTATTTGTGTAGTGCTCTGTGCATTTTCAGTAACTTGTTCCCCAACCTTGTGATCAGTTGTCTGAAGGTATTGAGAGAGGTTAAGCATTCTGTTGGCTTAGTCTCCACGTGTTCCCATCGGGACGTGGGAACGCCCTCTGTGGCTGGTGTGTGGAGCTGTCCTCCCAGGGCTGCTCTCCTCCATCCCACATCCTCTAGGAGCTCTAAAATGGATGTGTGGGAGGTAAATTGAGAATTAGAAAATGTCTCTAGTCTGCCTCTGGCTGAATTGGCCTGGGGTCAGGGATAGTATTCTAGGTTGTATAATTTTCCTTCACAGTTTTTCTTCAGGATTTCAGAGGCATCGTTATGCTACCTTTTATATCCCAGCTGAGAAGGCTGAAGCCATTGTCTTCTAGTCTGTTGTTTGTGGCCATTTTTTTCTCTGTGGGAGCTTTTAGGACTTTATTCTAAGTATTTTGAAATTTCCTAACAGTGTGCCCAGGAGCCCGTCTTTGCTTCCCCTCGCTTTTGCTGGTTACTCTGTGGACTGTTTGAAACCAGAGTTTGTGCCCTTTAGTACCAGGAAAGGTTCTTAAATTGTTTACTTTATGGTTTCTTCTCTGTTTTGCTTTGGTTTTTCCTTTCAAACGCCTGTCATTTGAATGATGGAATTCGTGGGTCGGTCCTCCAATTTTCTTTTTCCCTCTATCTTTTATTTTACTTTGCTTTTTTCTCTTAGTGTACTGTTTCCAGGTTCGTACCTGTTGTAGTATGCATCCCTGTTTCATTTTTTATGGCTGTATATTATTCCTTTGTAGGAATGTATCACATTCTGTTTACCTGTCAGTTTATTGATAGGCATTTGCGTTTCCACCTTTTGGCTATTGTGACTCATGCTGCTGTGAACATTGGTGGATAAGTATTTGTTTGACTACTACCTGTGTTTAGTTCTTTTGGGCATTTGTGTGGGATGGAATTGCTAGATCATATCATCAGTCTATGTGTAACTTTTAGGGAAACTGCCTGTTTTCTCACAGCACTGTGTTGTTCTGCATTCCCACCAGCAGTGTGTGAGGGTTCATTTTCTCCACATCCTTGCCAACATTTATTTTCCATCTTTTGGATTCCATCCATTATAGTGGGTATGAAAGGTTACCTCCTTGTGGATTTGATTTGCACTTCTGTAAGGATAAATGATAGTGAACATTTTTTTTCTTCTGCCTGTTGTCCATTTATATATTCTCTTTGCAGAAATATCTATTCAGATATTTTGCCCATTTTTAAATTGTGTTGCCTTTGTGGTTGAGTTGTGAGAATTTTTTGTAAGTATGTAAATGTAATACTAGACCCTTATTCCATATATGATTTGCAGACATTTTATTCCATTCTGTGAGTTGTCTTTTTAGTTTTTGGTAGTGTCCTTTGGTGAAAACTTTTATATTTTTTGTTGCTATGATTTTGTATCATAGTCAATTTTTTTTGAGAGACAGAGAGCAAGCTCCCATCTGTAAGTTCACTTCCCAAATCCTGCAGTGGCCAGGACTGGGGCAGGCTGAAGGTGGGAATCAGGAACTCAATTCAGGTCTCCCACGAGGGTGGCAAGGGCCCAGATACTTGAGCCGTCACCTGCTGTTTCCTCAGCTGCATGTTAACAGGAAGCTGAAAATGAGAGTGGAGCTGTTACATGAACCCAGGCACTCGAATGGGGGTGTGGGAATCTCAACCACTATGCCACGTGTCTACTCCTAGTGTTAGATTTTAAGAATACATTACCAAATCCAAGATCGTAAAATTTACTCTTGCTCTTAGATATGGGTTGTTTGATACATTTCAATTTTTTTATCTGGTGTGATATAGGGCCTCAACTCCATTCTTTTTGCATGTACGTATTTGATTGTCCCAGTACCATTTGTTGAACAAATTATTCTTTTCTCATTTTTGAATGCTCTTGTGCCCTTTAATTCCTCTTTTATTTTTCCCACTACTTCCAGAGGCTCTGGGCCTTCTGTCTTCTGATCCTTGTGATGATTCTGTGTATTGCGTTTGTCAGTTTGTTGAGTGCCAGTTCAGGATTCAGTTTTCTCTAGTCTACTCATATTTACATTGTTACTATTTTCTATCAGGTCTCTTATTTAAGTTTTGTCTTCCTGATGTTGCATTTTCATGCATACACTTTTCTTTGCCTAAATTATTTCCTGATTTTATCGCATTATAGTAAGAAGTAGCCGGCCATCAACCTTGTTCAGAAAGCCTTTCCCCTCTTCCCCACTCCGGGCTGCTGACTCCTGCTCCCCCATCTTTCATTCATGGTGTGGCTAATCTTTTGTACCAGCATGTTGTGAAGAAATGATTCATCTTTCTGTACTAAACAGTTCAGTGCGGTTTCTAATACATAGCAGGAACTCAGCTAAACATTTAGCTCAGTTGAATGTTTGTTCAACTGGAAATTTCCCCAGAGTTCCTTACGCACCCACACTGCTTAAGGTTAACACTGATTTTCTATTCATAAGTGAATTTGGTGAATCCAAATTCTAGCCGGGGAGTGCCTTTGTTGGAAAAATATACCATTACTGAGTGTGTGTTAATCTGTGCTTTGCTCAGTCAGATCAGTCCGCTGCTTTCCTCGTTTCATGAGTGAGGGAGCTGAGATTTAGGTTACTGAGTAACTGGCCCTCGCTCACCCAGCTGGTCACAGACAGGTCCTCAGTTTGGACAGAGCTTCGTCTCTGTGCAGTCAAATGACATCCTTCATCTTACTAGAAACCCTGGAATAGGCCCTCCCCACCCTTCCTTCTGCCAGGAAGCTGGGAAATGAGGTCATTCATTGTCTCCAATTCAGACTTCTGTTATTTTTTAATTTTTTCATGCCCAAATTTAAAATGGTTGTAAAGTGAAATCTCCTATTACTTGTTTTTTTTTTTTTTTTTAATTGTATTTAAGCTTAAGTACTCCCTCCAGTCACTTACTAAGGCTTCAATTTTCCTTATTTCTAATTTCTCTATATGTGTCTTTTTAACTCTCTGGAATTTATTTTGGTATAAACTATGTACTTGTTATTTTAAATTGCTGTCGTGCTGCTCTATCCCAGTAGGTTCTACAGTTCCTATTCATGGATAGTTAGCTTATTGCCAGAATTCTGCTAGGACTGTTGTTGTGTAAACCATTACATTTCTTACCCTTGTTGTTGTAATTATGATCACGGGGGTGTTGGGAAGGCCTCTTTCTTCTGCTCTCCAGGTGGGGAGTCATTTTCTCGAGCTGAACTTTGAAAAGATTGAAGAAGTGAGCAGGTATGTAGTCAGGCACTGCTCAGTCCCCACTAAGTGCAGGTCTTGTGCTAGATGCTGAATTGCTGGCTAGCCCTGACTGACAGGAACCTGTACTTTGGGGCATTTCTGAAGACCTGTTTGACACATAGCTTTGTCCATTTTCCTGCAGGCTGATCTAGTGTAGTCGATGGTCTCAAAGTTGGCATGTTTTCATCATGGCTCTGGGTCCAGCCGGTGGAGTTTATTTTGTTTCTGCAAGTCTGGCTCTTTAATCGTGGAGAGAATGCTGCCATTGGAACGTTGAAGACCATTCTGCATGTTCTCGTCTTTAGTTACTTATTTGATTGCTGGTGGCGTGGCTTCACTTGGAATATATTTTGGTGGATCATCTTGACAGGCTTTCTCAAACTGTATCTAACATTCACTGAAGTGCAGAGTTTTAATTTTCAGCTTTTAAGATAAGGCTAGTTTAAAGGAAATAATGAATGCTAAAGAAATTATCTTCATGGCTAGATAAGTTATCTCACTGTAGACTGTTCATTTGTCCTGCTGCAGTTTCTATTACACAATGACAATTTCTTTTCTCTGTGGGTAAATTTCTTTGTAATGAATAAATGAAAAGAATTTCAAAGAGATATTTTTACTTCAAAGAGTTGTTGTTATTCCATTTCAGGAATTCACTTAAACAACAATCTAAACCACTTGAAATTTGGCTTGGATCATCATAGACTGTCTTCCCCTACACAAACAGCAGCAAAGCAAGGGAAAATGGATTTGCCCAGCACAAGAGCAGGAAGCGACAAGATTGTTCTGCTGGTGTGTAACCGGGCCTGCACTGGGCAGCAGGGGAAAAGGTAAAAACAACTGATTTCCCAGTAATTACTGAGACTTTTAAAAACCGATATTTTCAGATGTCTTGAATAGCAGGGGTGAAAAGTCCTTACTTTTAATAGCTAAGTTTTTATTCTGGTGTTTAGAAAGAACACTTGTGTTAAGTTGAGCTGATTTGAGGGGTTGGAAGGGGAAGAGTATAAAATTGGTCTAATAGAATCAGAGGTTCTTAAAGCTCACCTTGTTTTTAAAGGCTCATTTCATATATGTATTTTACATTCAGGCTCCTCTGGGGACTCTAGATCTATTTTTTGTAAAGATTTATCTAAGGGGCCAGTGTTGTGACATAGCAGGTAAAGCTACTGCTTGTGATGCTAACATCCTATATAGGTGCTGGCTCAAGTACCGGCTGCTCCACTTCTGAGCCAGCTCCTTGCTGATGGCTGGGAAAGCAGCAGAAGATGGCCTAAGTGCTTGGGCCCCTGCACCCACATGGGAGACCTGGGAGAAGCTCCTGGTTCCTGGCTTTGGATCAGTTCAGCTCCATCCATTGTGGCCATTTGGGGAGTGAACCAGTGAATAGAAGATTCTCTCTCTCACTTGAGAGATTGATTTACTTGAGAGGCAGAGTTACAGAGAGAGGTCTTCCATCCACTGGTTCTCTCCCCAAATGGCTGCCAAGGCTGGAGCTGAGCTGTTCCAAAGCCAAGAACCAGGGTTTCTTCCAGGTCTCCCACAAGGATATAGGAACTCAAGCACAAGGGCCGTCTTCTGCTGCTTTCCCAGGCCATAGCAGAGAGCTGGATCAGAAGTGGAGCATCTGGGGCTAGAACCAGCACCCATGTGGGATGCTGGCACCACAGGTGGAGGCTTAGCCCACTATGCTACAATGCTGGCCTCTCTATATTTTTCTTTTCTTTTAAGAAAAAAAAATTTTTTTGACAGGCAGAGTTAGACAGTGAGAGAGAGAGAGAGAGACAGAGAGAAAGGTCTTCCTTCCGTTGGTTCACCCCCCAGTGGCCGCTCTGGCCGGCGCTGTGCCGATCCGAAGCCAGGAGCCAGGTGCTTCCTCCTGGTAACCCATGTGGGTGCAGGGCCCAAGGACTTGGGCCATCCTCCACTGCACTCCTGGGTGCACAGCAGAGAGCTGGACTGGAAGAGGAGCAACCGGGACAGAACTGGTGCCCCTGCCAGGACTAGAACCCGGGGTGCCAGCGCCAAAGGCGGAGGATTAGCCTAGTGAGCCGTGGCGCCAGCCCTATTTTATTTATTTGAAAGAAGAGTTACAGAGAGAGGCAAAACGAGAGAGAGAACAGTCCTCCATTCCACTGATTCACTCTACAAATGGCCGCAATGGCCAGAGCTGAGCTGATCCAAAGCCAGGAGCCAGGAGCCTCCTCCGGATTCCACGTGGGTGCAGGGGCCCAAGGACTTGGACTGGATCGGAAGTGGAGCAGCCAGGACTTGAACCAGTGCCCATATGGGATGCTGGCACTGCAGGCTGGGGCTTTAACCCGCTGTGCCACAGCCCCCTTCCCCCCCATATTTCTGACACTTGTGTCAGGATAGTTTTTCTTTTTGCCTCTTAGGATGTTTTTTGAACTCATCTCCTTAGGAGGTAAATAATACCATTGTAAAGTATGTTGATATGTGTATCTGTGAAACTCATGATTAGGCACTTCAGTGTGTCCGGCATTGTTCTAAACACTGGGGATACAGCAGTGAATAAGATAAACAGGGTCTCTGTCCCTTGGGAGCTTAGCTTAGCTTACTCCTCCTTAGCACACCAGGTAAAAACAAGCGAACACTTTGGACTTTAGGCAGTTGTTGCCATGTTGAAGACACTCAGACAGCATTTGGCCGAGAAGTCACATCCGTACGGGAATGCCTGGGTTCGAGTTCTGGCTCAGCTCTCAGTTCCAGCTTCCAGCAGATGATGGCTCAGGTGGTTGAGTCCCTGCGTGATGTGGCTGACCTGGGTTGAGTTCCCAGCTCCCAGCTCCGGCCTGGCTCCGTCTTGGCTGTTGGAGTCCTTTGAGGAGTGAATCAGCTGATGGGAGTGCTCTCATGAGCACTCATGGTCCCTGTCTTCCCCACCCTCCTTCCCTCAAATCAATCAAAACAAAGAGAACAGCAAGAATGGTTGAGTATGATGGTAGAGAGTCAAGACTGTGTGAGCAAAGCAGGTCAGAGGAGGCGTCCAGAGGAGGCTGCCCTGGGCGGAGCCCGGCGTGGGGGTGGGAGGGGGCTGTGTGACTGTGGAGGGCAGGGAGCCTGGGCAGAGGGAATACCTGGAGTGAGCAGTGAGACTAGATGGCGCCTGGCTTGTTTAGAGCCCCGGAGGAGAGGCAGCTCAGTGTGTGTGTGTGAAATGAAGAGCGGGCGGTGTCCTCTTCAAGATGCTCGATGCTTTACAGAAGATAGATCGGGTGATTCGGGTCTGTGCTCAGGGATTCAGACCTGGCAGCTCTCAGCAGACGGCTTCGCTGTTGAGTGCTCCTGTGAGTCCACAGTCTGCTGGCTGTTAGGAACACGTTTCTTGTGATGTCAGCGTTTCTGCTTCAGCCGAGGCCTGTGTCCGAGTTCATCCTTAGATCAGTGGCTTGTTCATTCACTCCTCCATTCTGTATCTGCAATTTTTGAGGCATTGACTGTTGAGGCCACTAAATAAGTAATCACCGCTCTTGCTGTCAGAGGACTCACAGCGGAGGTGTAACAGTCACTAGGCAACCTGGATGGCTCAGAGCCGCTAGAGCTGTGGCACCAGGCTGCGTCCTGGAGAAGGAGCCTCCACTGGTCTTCCTGTGGCGGAGTAGGTGACGGCCCAGAAGACATGGGGGAGGGGAGCCCACGTGGAAGGAATTGCCTGCTCCAAAACGTGGACGTGTGGGAGTCGGACACCTGCAGGAACAGCAGATAGGTCTGAATGACTGGGTGGTGGCTGAGAGGTGCGGCTAGGCTCGTGGTCTCCTCCTTTGACTGCATATTAAAACCTCTGGGGTGCGCCTCAGGAAATTCTCATTCCACACTGACTTTGAAGAATGTCTGGAGACTGGATTTGGGCCCCATTGTCCCCTGAAGCTTCGTTGGTGATTTCAGGGCACAGAATTGCCTCTGATTCTCTAGGGCATAGGAACGTGGCAGAGCCCAGACAGTTTCCGGCATGCCACCTGCTTGCCAGGGCCTCTCGTGTTTTCAGAGATGACCAGGATGTGGCTGCTGCCTCTTGGATCTTCCAACCCTAAATAATCCTTTGGCACCGATACGGGATGCCAGTGTCCCAAGTGCTGGCTTAGTCCTCAGCCCCACGTGCCTGCCACTTGTTGTAGGTTTGATCCATGTAGTTTGCCAGACTCGTGTCCACTCTCATCACCTATTTCGTCCCCTTGATTGTAGCATCATACTTCCCTGGAAGCTATTTGGGTGCATGAGCTATTAAATTCCACGTAGCAGTCTAAGCTGTTCCTCTGACTGTTTCACCATCTCTTTATGAGAGTTACCATTAAATTTCCTGTGTTTTCACTTTGAAAACTCTCCTGAAACCAATATATTGTGATTCCACTTTGAAAGATGAGAGCAAGGGACTGGGAGTGGGCATTTAGGCTAGCAGTTAAGGTGCCCACGTCCCACATTGGAGAGCCTGGCTTTAGTTCCCGGCTCCGGCTCCTCACCCCAGCTTCCTGCCAGTGCAGACCCTGCGAGGCAGCAATGATGGCTCAAGTAATTGGTTCCCATCACTTGCATGGGAGAGATCTGGATTGAGTTTCTGGTTTCTGACACTGGCCCTGGCCTGGCTCTGGCTTTTGAGGAATGAACCAAGGGCTGGGAGTTTTCTTTCCCTCTCTCTCTGCATCCCAGACTAAAAAACAAAAAGAAATAAGGGACTACATCATTGAAAAATAGCCATACTTTTAATGTATGTGTGCTAGATTTGGACTGCCTTTCGTGCTGCACCTGGAGAAGACAGTAGCATGGGACCTTCTGCAGAAGGAAATCCTGGAGAAGATGAAGTATTTCTTGAGGCCCACAGTTTGCATTCAGGTTTGTAAGCACTTTGATATTCGAGCGGAGCATGCACGTATACCCAGGAGAGACAGTTGTTGCCATGAAATTTGGATTTACTGTGGTCAGATTTTCAAGACTGGGAACGTATCCCTCATTGTAGGAAAGGGGCTGGCCACTCAAGCTTTTCCTTGAACAGCTGTGTGATCCTTTATAGAGTATTTATCTGATACGTTTAGTACATGATCGTTCTGGAAAGGTTTTAGTAGTGTGTCTATCTGTATATCTTTACAATTATTGCTAGTGTGTTATGGTGTCCGTGGAAGAGTGCTCAGTTAATGTTCCGTGAAAGCCATGTGTTACTTGTCTCACATAATGTGATATGCAAAGTGCATTTGGGTAAATCATACTTAAAGTATCAGAGTGGCTCAGCAACCTAATAGAATGTTACAGAGAATTGTCTTGTGAAGTGAGCAGCTCACTAGACCTCTCCTCCTTGTTTCAATTGCCCCGTGAGACATGCCCTCGAGGGGAAATTCAGTCTCATCGCCCTTTGACGTTGGCGCAGGTGTGTCCGTTCAGTCTGCGTGTGGTCAGCGTCGTGGGAATAACATACTTGCTGCCCCAGGAGGAACAGCCCCTGTGCCACCCGACGGTAGAAAGGTAACGAAGAAAAATCAGCTTCTGGAATTTCACATAGGCTCCTATGTGATTTCCGGTCGTACTTGGTCTAATTCCCATATAAATGCACTATGTTCTTCAGGCTCATTCAGAAATTAAGTACTTATTTAACTCTGATTCCTATTTGAGTGTGATGTATATTATGATCTTTTTTTTTTTTTTTTCCATTAGAAAAGCCATGGACTACTCATGTTAGGGAAGCAAGCAAGTGTATTTCCTGGCACCACAGATCAGTTACACATTTTTATATTCACGGAGAAGGAAATTTTCCAAAGTAGTGTTCTGATCATGCTTGTTTCTCCGTGAAACCTTTCAAAGGTGATGTGTGGCCTGAAAAATAAAGCCCAGTTCCCACAGTGTGTGACGCTCTCATGGTTCTCTCAGGCCTGGCCAGTCCTTTCCCCCCTGCCCTGCGCTTCATGATCTCTCTGTGCGCCGTGGCAGTGTCGTTTCCTCTGCCCATAGTCCTTTCCTTAAAGCCTTCACACTGCTCCCCCCATAGATTTAGTCACTCCAGTGTGCTACCTCCCTGCTGTCTTCAGCCTTTTATTGTATTGACAGAATAGCGACAGAAATGTGTACTTGTCTGTGCACAGACACAAACAGACACATAAACATAAACACACTTATGGTAATGACCTTTTCAAAAAATATTGTTGTCCTTGCATTTTAAGATTCTAAAACGTATACAACATGGTCCTGTTTGAACATTCACTGTTTGGTTTTAGAGATTAGATTTAATGGATTGGTAATGATCCAAAATATTGCACATCAGTAAAGAGGTTAGATTAGTAACGTTAACTGTTAATGCTGAGGGGGTTTCTCAGGAGACGGCAGTGGGCCGGTGAGCTGGCAGGGGAGTGGCTGTATGCAGAGAGGAGGGGGAAGGCACAGTGTAGATCTGGCGTAGCCTGAAGACTGAGCATGGTATGTGGGGAGGTAGGGCAAGCCTAGTCTTTGTTTGCAGAGTTCTGTTGTCCAATCTTTGGGTAGGTGAGAAATTGGACAGATTGCAAAGATCATGACAAACATCTGAGAGTGATCATGGACAGTGTTGTAGTGTGATGCCAAATTTTTCCAGCCTCTCTATTTCTATATTAGACATTGTAGTTTAAGAAGTTTGTAGTCCAGTTGTAACCTAGTTATTGAATCTGAAGTGACAGTGGTCTAAGAGCAATTCCTGATGGGAACTGTGATGGATTTTCAGCAATCACATTATGATTCAGAAGGACATAATTGCATTTAAGTAAAGTAATTTACTTAGAAAATAATGTGTGGCTTTTTTCCTTCCATGCTATAGGGCATTAAAATCTTGTGGACCAGGTGGTACTGCTCATGTGAAATTAGTCGTAGAATGGGACAAAGAGACAAAAGATTTGTGAGTATTTTTTTAGCTTTATATTTATACATTTTTAGAGATTGATTGATTGGTTTGAAAGGCAGAGATACAGAGAAGGAGAGGCAGAGACAGAAAGATCTTCTGTCTGCTGGTTCACTCCCCAAATGGCCACAACAGACAGAGCTGGGCCAGCTGAAGCCCTGAGCTTCCTCCTGGTCTCCCACATGGATGGCAGGGGCCCAAGCACCTGGGCCATCTTCTACAGCTTTCCAGGCTCATTAGCAGGGAACTGGATTGGAAGTGGAGCAGCTGGGACCTTGAACTGGAGCCATATGGCATCGCAGGTGGTGGCTTAACTCACTGCACCACAGTGGTGACCCCGAGAGGCTCACTTTAATTATTTTTAGCAGCATTCCTTTGATGTTACAAATGAACTCAGACACAGATCTGTTTTCTATTTAGGTAAATATACCTATCATATGTTGTTAATCCTTTATTTAAGCAATTTATTACTTCCTCATATATTCTGTCTTCTCAGTCCCAAAACTTTAGAACAGTTTGCTGCTGAGAGAAAAGCTATATATTCATTAACTGCTGCATATGTCCAGTTACTCTGATTTTTAAATTATAGATGCATTAACTCAAGCTGCAGGAAATACATGCACTTAAATATACAGGATAAGACTTTATGATGTAATCACAGCTCATGGCCAATCTCAGAAAAACCAACTCCTAAGTTAATTCTTGAAATAACTTTGCAGCCATTTTGAAGAACATGTTAGAACCTAAGAAAGTTGGATCACTACTTTTGCTTTCTCACACCTCAGCCTAGTTCTGAGTTCATAGCCACTTTGTGAGGCTGTAACTGTATTTGCGTGTCTCTTTTGCAAGGCCTCTCTGAAACACTTCTCCCTCCTAATCGCAGCTTGTTTGTGAACACTGAAGACGAGTATATCCCCGATGCAGAAAGTGTCCGTCTGCAAAAGGAGCGTCATCATCAGCCTCAGACCTGCACTTTATCCCAGTGTTTCCAACTCTACACCAAAGAGGAGCGGGTAAGCGGCTGCCCAGCACTTCTGGGGTTCCCAGAGTGGCAGGGGCTGGGGCATGGCCAGATGGCAGTGGAGAGACAGATTATGTCCCAGAAAACCCTCTGGGAGTTTGTGTTTACATAGGTTCTACACTGGCAGTGGGATATCTCAGTGCTATTCCTTTTAGGATGTTAATAAAAAGTAGTTTAAATTTCTAGAAAACCTTGAGTAATTGAAGTGCTCAAGAAGTAAATCTGTAGTTAATTCTTTTTCTTGCTTACTAGTGGCTGAAGATCAGTTTATTTTTTGGTTGTTTCAGTTTAGAAGTTTTAAGTCATTTTCATTAGTAATTAAAACAGCGATTCTCAACTAGTACATGTGTACTAAGAGCGAAGGTGCCAGGACCTATTAAAATAAGATAAAATAGGGGCCGGCGCTATGGCATAGCATGTAAAGCCACCGCCTGTGGTGCCGGCATCCCATATGGGCGCTGGTTCGAGTTCTGGCTGCTCCACTTCCAATCCAGCTCTCTGCTATGGCCTGGGAAAGCAGTAGAAGATGACCCAAGTCCTTGGGCCCGTGCACCCATGTGGGAGACCTGGAAGAAGCTCCTGGCTTCAGATCGGCACAGCTCCGGCCGTTGCAGCCACCTGGGGAGTGAACCAGCGGATAGAAGACCTTAGTTGCATTAGCCACATTGCCAGTGCCCAGTAGGCATGTGGCTGGTGGCCCTCCATATTGAACAGTGCAGCTATGGACAGAAAGTTGTGTTGGGCAGTGGTACTTTGGACCACTCATCACAGTGCTTTGTAAATAATAGGAACACGGTACATATTTAAGTGAATAGATGACAGATAAATGGAGAAATAAGTTTCCATGGGTGGGACCCAGGCCTATGTGGTTTTTATGCACCTTGAGAAAGCTTGACTAGAGCACTTGGAGTTCATCTCATCATGCAGTGATGCTTAGGATCGTAAATTGGACTGTTGGGTTTTTAAAATATTTAATTGGAATTATTTTATTTATTTGAAATGCTGAGTTACAGAGAGACAGACACAGAGAAGTCTCCCATCCGCTGATTCACTCCCGAAATGTATGCAACAGGCAGAGCTGGGCTGAGCTGAAGCCAGGGGCTAGGAGCTTCTTCCAGGTCTCCCACTTGAGTGTGGGACCTGAGCACCTGAGCCATCTTTGACTGCGTTCCCAGGCACATTAACAGGGAGCTGTATTGGTAGTGGAATAGGTGGAACTCAGACCAGCACTCATGGGGGGTGCTGGCACAGCAAGCAGTGGTTTATCTGCTATGCCACTGCTGTTGGTTTTTACTGTTCATTTATCCTCCTAGAGAATCACACAATCTCAGCATCAGAGGGGACTTTAAAATTCCTTTTTTTCTGCTGGTTCGGTTCTTCTGCCTAATTTTAAATGGGCAATTTCCAGTCTGAATACGAGGGTTTGTCTACTCAAGACTTGGCATTTCACGGCCGGCGCCGTGGCTCACTAGGCTAATCCTCCACCTAGCGGCGCCGGCACACCGGGTTCTAGTCCCGGGTGGGGCGCCGGATTCTGTCCCAGTTGCCCCTCTTCCAGGCCAGCTCTCTGCTGTGGCCAGGGAGTGCAGTGGAGGATGGCCCAGGTGCTTGGGCCCTGCACCCCATGGGAGACCAGGAAAAGCATCTGGCTCCTGGCTCCTGCCATCGGATCAGCGCGGTGCGCCGGCCGCAGCGCGCCGGCCGCGGTGGCCATTGGAGGGTGAACCAACGGCAAAAGGAAGACCTTTCTCTCTGTCTCTCTCTCTCACTGTCCACTCTGCCTGTCAAAAAAAAAAAAAAAAAAAAAGACTTGGCATTTCCTCTGGGTAGCTCTGATGCTGATCAGAGTTAATGTGACCTGTGCTCCATGGCTGCTGTACCCAACAGCTGTTCTCGCTTGAGTTTGTGATGACTCAGACATCCTAATTTTTTTTTTTTTAAAGTTTTTATTTATTTGAAAAGAGTTACTGAGAGAAGAGAGGGAGAGAGAGAGAGATCTTTCATCCGTTGGGTCACTCCCCAAATGGCTGCAATGGCCGGAGCTGGATCAGGTCAAAGCCAGGAACTTCTTCCAGTTCTCCCACATTTGTGCAGGGGCCCAAGCACTTGAGCATCCTCCGCTGCTTCCAGGCACGTTAGCAGGGAGCCAGATCGGAAGTGGAACAGCTGGGACTAGACCTGGTGCCCATATGGGATGCTGGTGCTGCGACACAGTGGCTTTACCTGCTGCGCCACAGTGCCAGCCCCGAGAACTCTTCATCTGTTTCCACTTGTCTTTCCTTCAGATATCTGCAAGTAGTTTTCCTGTTCTCACTGAATCTTCTCTCCCCTGGCTCCTCATAGCTGGTTCCTTTAGAAGTAGTTTTTCATAAGACATGTTTTTGTTTTTGATTTTTCAGTTTTGGTTTTAATAATAACATAGTTGACTTTTGAGTGCAGTCTCTATATGACACCTTTTTCTACTTAACTTTTTTAAGATTTATTTATTTGTAAGTCTGAGTTACACACACACACACACACAGAGAGAGACAGAGAGAGAGACAGAGAGAGGTCTTCCATCTGCTGGTTCACTACCCAGTTGGCCACAACAGCCGGAGCTGTGCTGATCTGAAGCCAGGAGCCAGCAGCTTCTTTCTGGTCTCCCACGTGGGTGCACAGGCCCAAGGACTTGGGCCATCTTCTACTGCTTTCTCAGGCCATGACAGAGAGCTGGATTGGAAGTGGAGCAGCCGGGTCTCAAACCAGTGCTCATATGGGATGCCAGTGCTTCAGGCCAGGGTGTTAACCCAGTGCACCACAGCACCAGCCCCTTCTACTTAGCTTTTTTAAAAAATTGTCTCAGGAGATGATTGAGAATGGCACACACACTAGAGGAGAACACATATACTAGGTGGCAGCTTTAATAGTACAAGACTCTTGCTGATCTGGAATGATGAGTTCCTGCTAGCAGGATGTGTTTTAGGGGCTCCTCCTTTCAGTAGAGTTTACTGAGTACTGCTCTGTGGGCGCTGGGGTTGGAGAAGAGACCCAGACAGTGTTTCTACCCTCATGCAGTTTACAGTGTAGAGGGGTTGGACAGGTAGGAAGGAACTTGACATGGTTGAAGACATTCAGCAGACCAGTGTGGCTGGAGCACAAGAGGTAAGGGAGAGAGAAAACAATACACGCTGCCGGTGCCACGGCTCACTAGGCTAATCCTCCGCCTTGCGGCGCCGGCACACCGGGTTCTAGTCCCAGTCGGGGCGCCGGATTCTGTCCCAGTTGCCCCTCTTCCAGGCCAGCTCTCTGCTGTGGCCCGGGAGTGCAGTGGAGGATGGCCCAAGTGCTTGAGCCCTGCACCCCATGGGAGACCAGGAGAAGCACCTGGCTCCTGCCATCAGATGGATCAGTGCGGTGCGCCGGCCATTTGCGGGGTGAACCAACGGCAAAGGAAGACCTTTCTCTCTCTTTCTCTGTCTCTCTCTCTCACTCTCTCTCACTGTCCACTCTGCCTTTCAAAAAAAAAAAAATTTAAAAAAAAAAGAAAAGAAAACAATACACGCTCCATAACAGCGAAAGCTCCATGTGTCTTGGTCACTGAGTAAGCTCAGTGTCCAGAGAAGTGCCTGGCACATAGAAAGTGATCAGTAAATGGGGCCTGGGATGCACGCGCGGCACGCAGGAATTCAGTATGGAGTGCAAGAACAGCAGAATAGATACAAGCAAGCTGGGACTTGCAGTCAGCGGTATGGCAGTGACTGTGAGGTCTGACTGCCTACAAGCTCTCATTCTTGATCAGCAGCGCCACGGGGTGTCAGTCTCTGTCATGCTCCTTGGGGATCCCTGAGAAACTGTCAGGACGCTGATGGTGGTGGCACTGCTCTTTTCATTCCTTCAAGTGCTCACTGTCAAGAAAATGGTAAAGTGGGACGTATCAGGGAGAGGAGGGCGGGAAATCCAGACCCAGCTGTGCGTCTTCTGACCGATGAGGCCTTTAGCAGGGATCAGGCACTTTAAGGACCATCCTGTGGATGAAGGATTGAACTTAATTTTGTCTGGAAAGCAGAATTTAAATATCACGGATGACAGGAGAGTGATTTGTCTTCCTATGAGGAAGAACCTTGTAGCAGACAGTCTGAAAGTGAACACACTGCCTGCTGGAGTGGATAGGGCCTTCGTTGCTAAGCAGAGTCAGGTAGATCAGCAAGAGACCAGGATCTCTAGTTGGTGGTTTACCCTGAGAGCAGCACAGACACTATCAGTATAGTGTTTAGAACTGATCAGAGCAGTTAGACATTGGCTTGACGTTCTTAGTGTATTTGATAACAGCGTCTGTTTGTAATACTGGAAATTAAAAAGCAAATTTTCTTTACTGTAAGCATTGAGCCGTGTGGCCACATATGAGGAGTATGTCACACAGAGATGGGGACTCACCAGTGTCAGTCTAGGTCCCTTTCTGTCTGATTCTCTGATTTTTTTTAAAAGATTTATTTATTTAAGAGTTACACAGAGAGAGAAGGAGAGGCAGAGAGAGAGAGAGGTCTTCCATCTGCTGGGTCACTCCCCAGTTGGCCACAACGGCCAGAGCTGAGCTGATCCGAAGCCAGGAGCCTCTTCCAGCTCTCTCACACGGGTGCAGGGGTCCAGGGACCTGGGTCGTCTTCTACTGCTTTCCCAGGCCATAGCAGAGAGCTGGATCGAAAGTGAGCAGCGGGACTTGACCGGGCGCCCGCGTGTCGCCGTCACAGAGCTTTGTGTTGCGAGGAGCTAACGCAAGCTGCGCCTTGTTTCCAGCTTGCCCCAGATGACGCCTGGCGGTGCCCACACTGCAAGCAGCTGCAGCAGGGGAGCATCACGTTGAGCCTGTGGACCCTGCCCGACGTGCTCATTATACACCTCAAGAGGTTTCGGCAGGTGAGGGGTCCTCTGGGGAGGGAAAAGCAAGCCAAGGCTAAGTCTCTTATGCCCCCTACTGGTGAGGTTCCCGGGTGTCCCTGTTGGATCCAGTGATTCTGTGTGTATAGTCACAGACACGTTTGCCTCTCTGTTCTGTGTCGCGTTTTGTTCTCCCAAAGCAAAATGTGAGCATCTGAGATCCTTGAGATCCTAGATGTTTGAGTTCACATGGCAGGTCTTGAGGGTTTGTTCTAGACTTGTACATCTTGTGTGCTTTGGGTTTAAAAAAATAAACAGAGATCCATTCTGGGGGAGTTGGAATTCTGTTTCTACCTGATGCAATGACGGATGTTGGCTACCCCAAAGCAGCTGTGTAGTGTGGGGGATGAGTCATAGACATACACAAAGAAAAGTACTTGAGTTGTCTTGCTTTGTGAGTCAGTCCTCCCCCACCCCCCAAAGAAAAGCTGTCTATTCTCTGAGGGAGGGTTATCCCAGACAGCCCCATTTGTGAATGGTGAATGGGAGGTAAACATTGGTGGAGTCTGTGAGGCCTGGCTTTAAGGTTTGTGTCTGCAAGATGTGCAGAGCCAGGGCTGGAGGGAGTAGAGCAAGGGCAGGGGCTATAAGAGGCCAGTGGAGCTGGCCCGCCAGTGCGTGGGACAGTGGTGGGAGCTGGGGCGGAAGAAGTGGGTAGAGGCTGGTTATACAAGCGTATCCGCCTTGTAGGCAGAGTAAGATGTGATGAGGGCTGGTACGCAGGGAAGGTAGCCCACCAGAGGTGTGGTTTTGACTGCTCTCTGGAGAACAGATTAGAGGCTACGGGAGTGAAGATGGGGCACCTGAGGACGGAGGTCGATGCAGTCATCAATGGAGCGCTGATGGCCTGGTAGAGTTGTGGAGGTGGTGATGATTAGGGCTCGCTGAGGAAGTGGAGGTGTCAGGGGTGACACACACATGGGCCCTGGGCTGGGGCTTTCATCCAGATGTTTGGGTTCGGCTCCTGTAGTATTGAGAGTGGACATTTGCCTTGGGTGCCCCAACTTCCTCCTGTTGGGCTCTGCTTGAAGATTTGGATCCCAGCCTTCTCTGTTCCCTTCCTGCCCCTCAGACTTTCCCTTGCTTCCCGTTTCTTTGAAGGCATATCATTGCCCTTCCAGCAACTTGGACTCCAGTGGGCTGTGTCGCCCTTTCTGCTTCGTTCTTGTGCCCCTCACTAGACACTCACCTCACAGCTTGCTCGTGCCTCCTCCCCATTCTTGCTGCTGCCCGGTTCAGACTCTTTACTTCCCAGCTGGTTGCAGTCTTTTAGTTGGTTCCTGTGACGCCTCCCAACATGTCATGTGTGCAGCTCACGTCGTTCTTCACCTCCTCTCTGGGGACGTGGCCTCCCCCGTGAAAGCCCAGGGCTTCCCCGTGAACTGCAGAGTAAGGTCTCAGTTCTTCAGCCCGGCCTTCCTGACCATCCAGGCCCCATCCTCCCTTTCTCTTACGAACGTTCTTCTTGCCTGAATAATTCCATATCTCCTTGGGGTGGGCACATCCATGCTTGATCAAGCTTTTGAAATTCCCAAAGACATACGAAACATGCATGTAGTAAATGCTATTCAGCCAGTGGTTGTGTTTTCCTGAATTTCCCCCTGGGCTTAATGGAAAATACAGACTACCCAAGAATGTGAATTAAATGAATATGAAGGGACTTCAGAAAGTTTGTGGAAACTGGAATTGACAGAGAAGTTCATTTTACTTTAAAAAATTTTTGAAATCTATGCATATGAAAGGTCATGAAAAAGTTCATGGAAAACATATATTATGAAAAAAAAAACAAAAATGTTTTGCACTAACCAGAATAAACTTATTTTTGCCTTCTATTTCCCCATACTTTTTGGAGTCCTCTGTATGAAGCTGGAGGAGGTGGGGAGGGAACAGGGCATTGTTAACTGCAGGCTCTTCTGTGCTAGGCCCTGGGGTTTGCTCTTTGCGTGGTCATCATTTCGGGAATTTTCATGCCTCAGTGACAGAGGTATCAGGATGAGCTACCTGAAACTGTTTTTGCAAGTCAGAAATTTAAAAAACTTTCAACAGATGAGGAAGTAAAGACTTGGGTTAATTTACCTCCTGTATGTAGATGCACTCTGGTTCTGCTATTTGTGATAATAAAACTTCTTCCTCCAGAGAGTTAAAACGATTAGTCGATTTCTCTATTATGTATATGTCTAGGGACATCAGGTGCTCAGACAGCTTCAGCTGATAGGATCCTCGTTCCACGTTAAACTGATCTGCCGTCTGCTTGCGTTAAAATGTTGTTAGAACTTGTTTTTCTTCTTCTAATAGGAAGGAGACAGACGTATGAAACTGCAGAACATGGTCAAGTTCCCTTTGACTGGCCTGGACATGACACCTCATGTGGTTAAGAGAAGCCAGAGCAGCTGGAGTTTGCCATCCCACTGGTCCCCGTGGAGACGGCCCTATGGACTCGGGAGGGACCCTGAGGACTACATCTATGACCTGTATGCTGTGTGCAATCATCATGGCACCATGCAAGGGGGGCACTACACAGGTCTGCAGCGCGAGAGGCCGCGTGTCTGTGCTTCGGTTCCTTCAGGCAGGCTGTCCTTGGGACAGAGGGACGTGGCCCCAGGACCTCACTTGCTCTTCTCCGAGGTTGTGTGCCACCAGTAAAGGCGGTCTCCACCGTCTGGTCTCTGTCCAGGAGCGAATGCACTAAAGCTCTTCCTCCAGTAGTGGTGCAGACGTGAACAGCATCGTCTGGTCCGCTGAGGGTTTGCCTCCTGTTTGCCTGGCTTGCACTCCCTACTTGATTTGCTCTACTGTCCTGAGGTTTTAGTCTCTCCCTTATTTGGAGTCATTGTGAACCACTATTTACTGTGACTTGGAAGGGTTTTTCTTTTTGTATTTACAGTTAAATTTACTTTTTTATAAGAGCAACTGTGTTCAGCATGTGAGATTTAGAGACTAGAGAGAGTTAGAAAGGATACCACTTTCCACGGGCTCCAGCACAACCATTGGTAACACTTTGAAAGATTGTGATGAAGTGTAGATAACAAAACTTATCATTTTAAAATGTATTGTTCAGGGACATTAGGTACATTCACATTGTCATGTAGTCACTATCACTATTTGTTTCCAGAATTTATTTCATCTTCCCAGCAGGAGCAATCCCATTAAACAAGAATTCCCACTTCTCTCACCTGCCAGCCTCTAGCAACCACCCTACTTTCTGTCTGAATTTGACTACTCTTGGTACCTCTTAGAAGTAGAATCAGGCAGTATTTGTCTTTTTCATGACTGGCTTGGTTCATCCATGTTGTACCATGTATTAACGTTTTCTTTCTAAGGGCAGGCTTTTGGTCTAGAGGTTAAGACAGTGGTTAAGATGTCCACATTCTATATTGGAAGATGTGGGTTCAATTCCTGGGTCTGGCTCCTGGCTCCTGGCTCCAGCTTCCTGCTAATGCAGATCCTGGGAGGCAGTGGTGATGGCTCAAGTAGTTGGGTTCCTGCCACCCACACAGGAGGCCTGGATTGAGTTCCTAGCTCTTGGCTCCCCCTGGCCCAGTGTTGGCCATTGCAGGCATTTGAGAAGTGCACTAGCAGGTAGGAGTTCTTTTTGTCTCTCAGAGAAAAAAATTTTCTTCCTTCTTTTTAAAGGCTAAATAATGTTCCATTTTATATGGGTAACACCTTGATATATGGTATATACTATCAGTGTTTTTCTATAATTTTTACCATTGTTTTACACTGCTGTGATTAAATACTGGAATGTTCTGTCCAGGTGAGCATTTATTGAGTGCCTCATGTCTAGTCTGACTGGGCTCTGTCACACCAGAGGCGCGTAGGTCCCAGCCCCCTCTGGAAGCATAATCCAGTAGGGGGAGGTGTGGGGCAAGTGAAACGTAGGAGGAGCAGCGACGTGTGGTAGGTTCTGTGGTGGAAGTGTGAGCGGTGGGCAGGGGCAGGGCCGGAAGACAGGGTGGTCAGAGTGCTGGCGAGGAAGCTGTTGGGATCAGCGTCTGCTGCCTGCCCTGCAGCACCTCCAGCTTGTGGAGTGGAGGGGCAGGGTCACGTAGAATTTCACAGTCACAGAAGCACAGTGAGAAACGAGTGGCTGTGTGTGCTTCTACATCCTGATCTTCACACTTAGTGTCGCCACTTCAGTGTTCTTGTGATGTCGACACTTAGAGCCACTCTCTGATGGCTGTAGGATGTTCAGTTGATGGACCACCAGTGTTACATAACAGTTGCCCACTGCTGAACATCTGTGTTGTTGCTGGTCTTTATATAACTGTGTGTGTACTTGTTCTTTCTGAGTTTTAATATTGTAATTCCTTGAGATCGAGTCTCAGAAATGGAATTGCTGGGCTAAAGAGATTCAGGAGCCTTTTCAAGACAGGCAGATTTTAGGGCTGCTTGCTTAGACATCTGTTTACGTAAGGTTGAAGTGAGGGTAATACTGGTTTTTTGTTGTTGTTTTGTTGTTGTTGTTTTGACAGGCAGAGTGGACAGTGAGAGAGAGAGACAGAGAGAAAGGTCTTCCTTTGCCGTTGGTTCACCCTCCAATGGCCACCACGGCCGGCGCGCTGTGGCCGGCGCACCTCGCTGATATGAAGGCAGGAGCCAGGTGCTTCTCCTGGTCTTCCATGGGGTGCAGGGCCCAAGCACCTGGGCCATCCTCCACTGCACTCCCGGGCCACAGCAGAGAGCTGGCCTGGAAGAGGGGCAACCGGCACAGAATCCGGCGCCCCGACCGGGACTAGAACCCGGTGTGCCAGCGCCGCAGGAGGGTAATACTGTTAATTTGTTCAATTGTAGGAGTGGCCAGGCCTCAGATTTTTGCATCCTTTCCCATGTGTGTTTCTCAGGGACTTCTGTCACTGAATCAGGACACCGGAATGCTAATGCTGACCTTTGATGTCATTTACAAAGGCAGGGGTAGGTGAGGGAGGTCTGCGCCCTGCCAGTTGCTGTTTTTAAATCCCTGGAGTTTCCCCAGATGTCAGCCACAGCCTCCCTTCCCATTGCCTTCCCAGCCTGGGTACACTTACTTTTTGAACTACTACTCTTTTTTTTTTTTTTTTTTAACTTGGCCATCTTCCACTGCTTTCCCAGGCGCATTAGCAGGGAGCTGGATTGGAGGTGGGGCAGCCAAGTCTCTAACCGGTGCCCACATGGGCGGAGGCTTGACCTTCTATGCCACCACACTGGCCTCAGTTCAAGTTCTTTAGGTATTTACATGCTGCAAGCAGTTGTCTCTGAGAAGGGAGACCCCAACCTGGAGCGGATCTCACAATGAAACGGATTGGGTCACCTCTGCTTGCCCTAGGAAGCACCTTCAAGAAGAGAAAGAAGATAGGGGAGTTCAAAAGACACTGAGACTGTGTGGAAGACAAAAGTTCCCATTCACGGAAAGTTTAAGTGATTTTACCTCCTGCCTTGGTTTGAACAGAGTTCTGAGTATGATAATATGCCCTCTTATCTCTCAGGTCTTGCGTGTTTTATGCTTGTATTTCCGGAGGCCACTTGTATCAGTGTTGTGTGTCTAGTTGGCATTTTGCTTCTGTGGCCATTTCTCGTCTGTCTTCTTTGATACTGAGTCAGAGTTGTAAGCTCCTGGGCTCCCCGCAGGGAAAGGGACTTGGAGGCCCTTCAGTTTCACTGGAAACCTGACCAGGCCTCTGCCAGCGCCCCTGACTCAGATTCATGCAGCCCCAGCTTCGGTAAAGAATGCATCTCCCATTGCAACACCTCTGCAGGAAAATATGGAGTGACTTGCTGGGTGGTTTCCAGCAAGAAGTTACTGAGGGCTGGATTTCAGCATTGTTCTTTTTATAGAACAGGCTGGAAAATGCCTCAACTCCCTTTGAGGGCAGTACGACTTAGTGAGAGGAGCCTGGGTCAGAAGCCAGACCCTCCTCCCCGCTGCATGCCTTAGGCAGGTAGCCTTATTAGAACCTGGCTGCCACAGTAGTGAGCCAGAAGTGACTCTGCTTACCCACAGGGCCCATTAGCAGAAAAGGTGCTCGGATACCTCCTGGATTCATCCCCCTTTTTCCATGCTTGAGCCACACAGCAGCTTTCCTGGTACATAACATGTTTAGAGAACATTCTGAACACGCTCCGCGTTGTCGAGGTAGAGACGCCGGTCGTCAGCTCCCATTTGGAATGTTTCTCCTTGACTTGGCGCTGATTCTAGCTATAATTACACAGAATGTGTGCGGCTAACTTGTGTGCGGATTCTGGAACAGTGCTTCTCCTACCATCTGTGGTGGTAGGGCTCTCCTTCTATTTTAAGCTTTCCAATCCTTCATGAACCAGTACTTCTACAAAAATACAATAAAAATATCACAGCGGTATCAGATTGCTATAAAGGCTTTTAAATGCTGGTCTCCAGTTCCTTGCTTCTCTTCTTGAGGACTGGCGCCCATCTGTGGGCCACAATCTGAGGAGCCCTGGCCTAGAAAACACTTCAGAAAACAGAGCTAGGAAGGAACGCCAGTTGGAGTTATTTTGTAATTGCATTGTTCACCCATTAATGAGTTACCGTGCTGCCTCCGTTTGCATGCTGTGACGGAGAACAGACCCCTGGGGGAGAGGCAGCCTGAAGCAAGCACCAGGTTGTTCTGTCGCTGTCTGTTGGGTGTGTTCCCCTCTCACAGTTCTAATCCCACCCACCGCTCCCGAATAGCGGCCGCCTCACCAGCTGGCTCATCCATGCACCCGGTCTGACCTGACACCGTCGGCCAGGCAATTGCTGTTTTTACAGCTCCATCTGCCGCTTCTCTCTCTCTCTCTCTCTCTCCGCTTCTGCTTCTGGTGAATCTGCAGCTACAGATGACTTCCCTCTGCATTCCTAGGCTCTGGTACAGCCCTTCCTCGCCTGGGTCCCCTTCATGCGGTAGGGTTCCGTGTTCATGAATGTGGTTGTGGCCTGTTGAGAGAGTCACTCCCAGCACCCCTCGGGACCTCTGTGCTCCGGCCCTGGGGCCATCATGAGTATAGTCTAGCTGCAGCTGGCTGTTTGGCACTTACTCCTCACCCCAGTAAATGGGTATTTTCAGAAAGTGTGGTAATAATATACTCTTCCGGGTCACGCTTATGACACTCCTTGATGCAGGTTTCCGGGCTGACTTGCTGCCTTCGTGAACTCTTGAAAAAATGTTTGTCTCTTCTCGTTGGTGCTGAGTGCTCTTTGTTTCTAGCTCAGGCCTAGGACCTGAACTGCAGGGAGGCCTCCTGGGCGCATGAGCTTCCAGAGAACATCTGCGGAGCGTTGTTGGCACTCCCCACTGAGGGGCGCCAGGCAGGGTGGGGTTTAAGTGCAAGCTCAAGGACTAGATAAACCAGAAGTGAACCGGGCCCAGCCCTTCACCTGCTTGGTGACCTGGAGCAAAGGGGGCCATCTCACTGAGCCCCTAAATCAGGAATCAGGATAGAACACATCTCAGGATTAAATGAGATGCTGGGCGCATAGTAAGTCTTTTTTTTTTTTTTTTTTTTTTTTTTTTTTAACATACAGGCAGAGTGGACAGTGAGAGAGAGAGAGAAAGAAAGGTCTTTCTTTTGCCGTTGGTTCACCCTCCAATGGCCGCTGCGGCTGGCACACTGCTGCCGGCGCACCGCGCTGATCCAATGGCAGGAGCCAGGTACTTATCCTGGACTCCTATGGGGTGCAGGGCCCAAGCACTTGGGCCATCCTCCACTGCACTCCCGGGCCATAGTAGAGAGCTGGCCTGGAAGAGGGGCAACCGGGACAGAATCCGGTGCCCTGACCGGGACTAGAACCCAGTGTGCCGGCGCCGCAAGGCTGAGGGTTAGCCTATTGAGCCATGGCGCCGGCCGCATAGTAAGTCTTAAAACAAGTACTTGCTGTTGCTGTTATTGACGCCCTCATTTCTAGTCCTGCTGTTTTCTATTTCTGATAAGCACTAGGATGTTACAAGGTGCTTGAATCACAGTTGGTTAGCCCTGGCAGTCTCCTAAGATGAAATAGAACTGCCTGTACTCGGACTAGTGTGGAATTTCTTGAGACAGTCTGCCTGAGTGTCATTTCACCTCTGGGTTACTACATGCAGCCTTAAAAAGTTCTTGAATTAATTTGAGAGCTGTAGCGAGGGTGTCTGTGGGTAGAATGGGCTGTCCAGTGCCGGGTGCCTGGGTGCTGATGGCGGGCTGTTTGTTTGCAGCGTACTGTAAAAACTCCGTGGACGGCCTCTGGTACTGCTTCGACGACAGCGACGTGCAGCAGCTGTCGGAAGACGAGGTCTGCACGCAGACAGCCTACATCCTTTTCTACCAGAGGCGGACAGCGATCCCGTCGTGGTCGGCCAACAGCTCGGTGGCAGGTAAAGCCGGCTCTTGACCTTGGGGGGTTTTCTCCAGAGTAGAAGATTGTAATTAACGGCCCAGAGGACCTTTCCAGAAGGTCTCCTGACTGTCAGTGTGATCAGATTAATTCTCAAGATTTCCGTTTAATCTGGAAACCAGCATGATTGCAATCAAGGAAGAGGGGTAGACTGTGAGAGCAGGTGTGGACTGGCGGAGTTCAAGGAGGGCCGGGGCGGGGCCTGCCTCAGAGACAGCCCAGGACGTGTGCTTGTGAGAGGAGCGCGTGAAGAATCTGAAAAGCAGCCTGGCGTGCCACTCGGAAGCGTCGTTGGAGCGTGTCCTGTCAGGGCCACGGCCACGTGCTTGTGATCTGGAATGCGGGTGTGATGCTGCCCGCCTCACATCAAATGAGGAGAAAGTGTGCAGAAGCGTTTTGTGCAGGCTAAAGTATCACTGATCACAGGTCTGTCTTTCCAGTAAGAAGACTGGTCTGTCCCGTTAGGGAAAGGGTTGGTAGCCTGAATAATACAAGGGGGCTCCAAAGAGTTTGTGGAAAATGTGCATTGTCTTTTAATTCCATTTTTTGTGAACTTTTGAAGCCCTCTCATATTAGATGTCTTGAGGTTTCGCCTGATGGGATTTCGTCTGTTGAGTTAATAAACTCAGGAAGCAGTACCCACGCATGGTGTGGACACAACCACACGTAATCCAGACAAGGAGATGGGTGCCTGTTAAGGAGGAATTTGACTGTTAGAGAATGTGACAGAGGACTGGGACATGGTGTGGTCAGGGTAGAGAGAGCAGCTAAAAGGAAGCATCAAGTGGAGTGGAGTGGAGTGACCCCTCCAGCTCACTTACTTCACAGCACATGGGATCCCAGGGCTTCAGGCCTGCCCTGTGCTTCTGGAGTCTGACACTCTCAGCGCCCTCTGCTGGCCGCCTCCTGCTGCTTCATGTGCCCGGTTTCAAGAGCAGTGTCTGTGGCCCTAAAATATGTGTAAGGGCCACCCTGGAACAGACAGGACACACTGACAGAGAGGGGGTATATGTGTGTGTTTATGAAAAGAGTTAAGAAGAAAACAGTGTACTGTTCCTCCTTTGTGACAGAAATATCACTGCAGGTGCTCAAAACAGCGCCTGGCATGTGGGCAAATGAATTTATGTGCGATGCCTCCTCCTGCTAACTATTTTAAGGCTCAGACTTTGCATTATGAGGTATTCATTTTGCCTTGCATTTTATTGTTACAAATTGGAGTCTGCTTTCCATCTTTTCGTTTTAATTGGTGGATGCTTCGGTCTGGGAGTTAATGCTGCACTCTGGGTGTGGAACAAGGTACCCCAGCTCAGCCTGCAGTCCCTCTGTGAAGTGGGTGCAGTGCAGGCTGCAGTCCCTCTGTGAAGTGGGTGCAGTGCAGGCTGCAGTCCCTCTGAGGGTGGGTGCAGTGCAGGCTGCAGTCCCTCTGTGAGGTGGGTGCAGTGCAGGCTGCAGTCCCTCTGTGAGGTGGGTGCAGTGCAGGCTGCAGTCCCTCTGTGAGGTGGGTGCAGTGCCGGCTGCAGGCCCTCTGTGAGGGCGGGTGCAGTGTAGGCTGCAGTGTCTGTGAGGTGGGTGCAGTGCCGGCTGCAGTGTCTGTGAGGGTGGGTGCAGTGCCGGCTGCAGTCCCTCTGTGAGGTGGGTGCAGTGTAGGCTGCAGTCCATCTGTGAGGGCAGGTGCAGTGCAGGCTGCAGTCTGTGAGGTGGGTGCAGTGCAGGCTGCCTTCCCTCTGTGAGGTGGGTGCAGTGCAGGCTGCCTTCCCTCTGTGAGGGCGGGTGCAGTGTAGGCTGCAGTGTCTGTGAGGTAGGTGCAGTGCAGGCTGTAGTCCCTCTGTGCGGTGGGTGCAGTGCAGGCTGCAGTGTCTGTGAGGTGGGTGCAGTGCAGGCTGCAGTGTCTGAGGTGGGTGCAGTGCAGGCTGCAGGCCCTCTGTGAGGTGGGTGCAGTGCAGGCTACAGGCCCTCTGAGGTGGGTGCAGTGCAGGCTGCAGTGCCTCTGTGAGGGCGGGTGCAGTGCCGGCTGCAGTGTCTGTGAGGTGGGTGCAGTGCAGGCTGCAATCCCTCTGTGAGGTGGGTGCAGTGCCGGCTGCAGTGCCTCTGTGAGGGCGGGTGCAGTGCCGGCTGCAGTGCCTCTGTGAGATGGGTGCAGTTTCGGCTGCAGTCCCTCTGTGAGGTGGGTGCAGTGCCGGCTGCAGTGCCTCTGTGAGGGCGGGTGCAGTTCCGGCTGCAGTGCCTCTGTGAGGTGGGTGCAGTGCCGACTGCAGTGTCTGTGAGGTGGGTGCAGTGCAGGCTGCAGGCCCTCTGTGAGGTGGGTGCAGTGCAGGCTGCAGTCCCTCTGTGAGGTGGGTGCAGTGCAGGCTGCAGTCCCTCTGAGGGCGGGTGCAGTGCAGGCTGCAGGCCCTCTGTGAGGTGTGTGCAGTGCCGGCTGCAGTGTCTGTGAAGTGGGTGCAGTGCAGGCTGCAGTGCCTCTGTGAGGTGGGTGCAGTGCAGGCTGCAGGCCCTCTGTGAGGTGGGTGCAGTGCAGCCTGCAGTCCCTCTGTGAGGTGGGTGCAGTGCCGGCTGCAGTCCCTCTGTGAGGTGGGTGCAGTGCAGGCTGCAGTGTCTGTGAGGTGCGTGCAGTGCCGGCTGCCTGTGGACCGTGCCTGACCCGTACCTGCTTCCTTTTCTGCAGGCTCCACAAGTTCTTCTCTGTGTGAACACTGGGTGAGCCGACTCCCGGGGAGCAAGCAAGCCAGCGTGACCTCTGCGGCCTCCTCCAGACGCACTTCCCTGGCCTCGCTCTCCGAGTCTGTAGAGATGACCGGGGAAAGGAGCGAAGATGATGGTGGGTGTGGCGTTTGGTGACGGGCACAGCACAGTGCCTTGTGGTTAGGAGTGAGTTTCAAGGAGCCTGGGAGAACTGAGAGGGGGTTAAAGAGAGTGGGGCTGCCCAGCTGTGACTCTAACAGGAGCAGCAGCTTTTCCTGCGTTTCCCACAGCGTTCTCCTGCTTCATCATTTTGCCCCTTTAAGGTCTGGCATGGAAACTAGCGCTTTAACTCCTTTTTTCCTTTTTGTTGTTTTAAAGATTTATTCATTCATTTGAAAGGCAGCGTTAGAGACAGAGAGAGAGAGAGAAGTCTTCCGTCTGCTGGTTCACTCCCCAGATGGCCTCAGTGGCTGGAGCTGTGCTGATCTGAAGCCAGGAGCCTGGAACTTCTTCTGGGTCTCCCATGTGGGTCAGAGGCCCAAGGACTTGGGCCATCTTCTGCTGCTTTCCCATTCCCATAGCAGCGAGTTGGATCGGAAGAGAAGCAGCTGGGACTCGAACTGGTGTCCATATGGGATTCTGGCACTGCAAGTGGCGGCTTTGCCAGCTATGCCACAGCACTGGCCCCAACTCTCTTTTCTGTCCCTTCCCCTCCCCTCCCCTCCCCTCTTCTTCTTTTTAAGAATTTTTTTATTGGCCAGTGCCGCGGCTCACTAGGCTAATCCTCTGCCTTGCAGCGCCGGCAAACCGGGTTCTAGTCCCGGTCGGGGTGCCAGATTCTGTCCCGGTTGCTCCTCTTCCAGGCCAGCTCTCTGCTGTGGCCTGGGAAGGCAGTGGAGGATGGCCCAAGTGCTTGGGCCCTGCACCCCATGGGAGACTAGGATAAGTACCTGGCTCCTGCCATCGGATCAGCGCGGTGCGCCAGCTGCAGTGCGCTAGCCGCGGTGGCCATTGGAGGGTGAACCAATGGCAAAAGGAAGACCTTTCTCTTTGTCTCTCTCTCTCACTGTCCACTCTGCCTGTCAAAAAAAAAAAAATTATTTTATTTATTTGAAAGACAGAGGGGCGCTGGATTCTGTCCCTGTTGCTCCTCTTACAGTCCAGCTCTCTGCTGTGGCCCGGGAGGACAGTGGAGGATGGCCCAGGTGCTTGGGTCCTGCACCCCATGGGACACCAGGAGAAGCACCTGGCTCCTGGCTTCAGATCGGCGCAGCGTGCCAGCTGCAGCGCGCTGGCCATAGCGGCCATTTGCGGGGTGAACCAACGGAAAAAGAAGACGTCTCTCTCTCTCTCTCACTGTCTGTCTGTCTGTCCAAAAACAAAAACAAAAACAACAAAAAAAGACAGAGGAGTTATACAGAAAAGTAGAGCCAGAGAGACTGAGTGGTCTTCCATTCCACTGGCTCAGTCCCTAAATGACCACAACGGCCAGAGCTGGGCCAGGCCAGAGCCAGGAGCTTCTTCCAGGTCTCCTACATGTGTGCAGGGGCCCAGGGACTTGGGCCATCTTTCACTGCTTTCCCAGGCCATAGCAGAGAGCTGGATTGGAAGAGTAGCAGCTGGGACATGAACTGGCGTCCATATGAGATGCCGGTGCTGCAGGCTGGGGCCTCAACCCGCTGCACCACAGCGCCAGCCCCCCAACTCTTTATTTTCAAAGTGCTCCGAGGGGTTGTGCCCTGCTCAGGGCCACCTGGAGCGGAGTCACTGTTCCCAAACTGGCTTGGAGTCTCCTGGCTCTCAGCCTCAGACCCCTTTTTTCTAAAGACAGGCACGATGTAAAAACTGGGAACATGGTAAAAATTGGACTTGGGCTGGTTTTTTAAGCTTTCCCTTACTTACAGGACACATAGGCAGTTCCAGCAGGGTCCCAGGTGGCACGGGAGGATCAAGCAGCCAGCACTGAGAGGTGGGGGGAGAGGAGGGTGAGCTCAGCTTCCAGAATGAGCCGGTGACTCATCCTGCAACAAGCTTCATTCTGCGGCCAGCAGTTCGATCGCTGTGATCCGCTCCTGTGGGTGATGGATGATTCCGAGAGGGTGACCTGGAGTGGGGCTTGCTGGAAGACGAGTGCCAGACCAGGAGGTCTGTGCTGCAGCCCTGGCTCTGCCACCTCTTCCGTCTCGTTGCTTCTTTATTTGCAAAATAACAGCATTGGACTGTCATCGCCACGCTTAGAACTTCTAAGTCCTTACAGCTTGGGAAAACCAGCTAATGAGCTTTGCTTGTTGAGGCAGAGGCTGTTTTCACTAGGGTTCACTGTGGTGTTGGCAGGAAGCCTGGATGTGGTTTGCCCCGTGTGTTTTTAACAGTGTAGCTGCTGACATCAGTACCCACCTAAGCACATCTTCTTCAGTGATGTGGGCGGTGCCCACAAAGCAGAGCTTGTCTCTGAGGGTCTCATCCTTGCAGAGGTTTATAAATACCACAGCCGCAGTATCAAGCGTGCAAAGAATTTAATGTAGATTTGTTTCTTTGGATGTTTTAAGCCACTCCAAATAGGAGTTATATTGTTCTAATCACGCATATTTTCTCTGGGAGCTTTAAATCATTCAGGATCAGAGTAGGTTGTATCTAAGTCTCTTTGGTTCTTTCTGTTGATTTTTTAAACAAAATTGATTGGGGCCAGCGTTGTTGCACAACGAGTGCTTCCTGTGATGGTGGCATCCCGTGTTGGAGTCCAAGCCAAGTCCCGGCTGCTCAACTTCCAGTCCAGCTTCCTGTCAGTGCACCTGGGAGGGCAGTGGCTGATGGCCCAAGCGTTCGAGCCCCTGCTACCCTGGGAGACTCAGATTGAGTTTCTGGTTCCTGGCTTCGGCATGGCCCAACTTTAGCCATTGTGGCCACTTGGGGAGTGAACCAGTAGATGGAAGATCTCTGTCTCCTTCTCTTTCTGTGACTCTTTCAAATAAGTGGATAAATCTTCAGAATTTTTTCTATTTATTTGAAGGAGAGATCTTCCATCTGCTGGTTCATTCCTCATATGCTTACCACGGCCAGGGCTGGACCAAAACGAGTCCAGGAGCCCAGAGCTCCAGCCAGGTCTCCCACGTAAGTGGCAGAGACTCAACTGCTTGCGCCACCCCCTCCTGCCTCTCTGGGTGGCGCATTAGCTGGGAGCAGAAGCAGAGCAGCCGGCACTTTCACTAGGCTCTCCGATGTGAAATGCAGGCATTACTGAGTGCATCTTAACTGCTGTGCCAGATGCCCACTCCTGATTCACTTTTCTAGTCAGTAACTAGGGGCTAGCTCAACACGTGCCAGGAAGTGGGGACCAAGGGGCTCCGGGTCTGCTGTTGGCTCTGCCGTTAGCTTGGGTCATCTTGGTCAAAGACGTCACTGCTGCACAGCCCGGCTATCCGTCTGTGAGTTGAAGCGGCTGGATTGGCAGCTCACGCCTTGAGAGCATCGGTGGAGTACAGGTGCCCCGCCAGCCCTAGAACTCCCAACATTTTGTTTCATCCTCACAGTATCCCCTGCGAGTTAGACCAAGGGTAGGTAAACTAGCTCACAGATAGGACCCCTGCCTTTTTTTTTTTTTTTTTTTTAATAAAGGAACTCTCTTTGGAACACCGCACACCTGTTTATGCATCACTGTGACTGCTTTAGTGATGCAGGGGCAGAGCTGAGTGGTCGGCCCACACAGTCTGTTGCATTTAGGCCCTGCCAAGACAAGCATGCTGACCCTGATGAGGGACAAGGAGCGAGAATACCCGGCTGGCCCCTGAGTGAGCAGAGCCCTGTTGTGTGGGTACGGGGAGTGGGCTCGTGGAGGTCGAAGCTGCGCAGTCCCTCCGTGACCCAAGACGGGCTGCCTCTGCGGCTCGTGTTCCTCTCGTTCCAGGTCATTTGCCTTTGTCCCATCTTCATCACCTGGAGGTGTCACTGGAATGTTTCTGTTGGTCCAGCTTAACGGTGTTCTCTTTGCTGTGTTCAGGAGGCTTTTCTACTCGGCCATTCGTGAGAAGTGTCCAGCGGCAGAGCTTGTCATCCAGGTCCTCTGTGACCAGCCCCTTGGCCGTCAACGAAAACTGCCTGAGACCTTCTTGGTCGCTGTCTGCCAAGCTGCAGATGCGCTCCAACTCTCCTTCCCGCTTCTCGGGGGACTCTCCGATCCACAGCTCGGCCTCCACCTTGGAGAAGATCGGGGAGGCGGCGGATGACAAGGTCTCCATCTCTTGCTTCGGTAGCTTGAGGAACCTGGCTAGCAGTTACCAGGAGCCCAGCGACAGTCCCAGCCGGCGCGAGCACAGGGCTGTGGGCCGAGCCCCTCTGGCAGTCATGGAAGGTGTGTTCAGAGATGAGTCAGACACGCGCAGATCCAGCTCTGGTGTTGCGGATCCACAGGGCAAAAACTCAGCACAAGGGCAGCGCCTGCCCCCCATCTCTGATCCATTTGATAACAACAACCAGATTGCTTACGTGGACCAGAGCGATTCCGTGGACAGCTCTCCAGTCAAAGAGGCAAAAGCCCCGAGCCAGCCGAGCTCCCTCACAAAGAAACCAGAGAGCACAACCAAGAGATCCCCTGGCCCCAGAGGCACTTGTGAGCCGGATAAGAGCTTGCGGAAGGGGAGGCCAGCCTTGGCGAGCCAGGACTCGTCTCTTTCTAGCACGTCCCCTTCTTCTCCTGTTCCCGTCCAGGTGTCTCGAAAGCCCTCCCGTTCCCGGAGCAAAGCCGAGTCTTCTGCCAGGGCCAGTGGAAGGCATTCGGCCCCCACCCCCGCCCAGCCCAAGAAGGAGTCGTCACCCAAGTCCCAGGACTCTGTGTCCTCTCCCTCTCCGCAGAAGCAGAAGTTGGCTTCTGCCCTCGCTCACACCGCTTCCTCGACATCGGCCAGAAAAGCTTCCGGCCCCGCAGCCAGAGGCCCCTTCCCCGCCGGGCAGAGCAGGACTCAGGAGCGCAGCCTGAGTCGTGAGGCTTCCAGACAGAGCCTGGGTTCTGACCGAGGCAGCGTCACCTCCACCTCCAAGCCCAGCTCCCCCCGGGTGAGCCAGGCCCGAGCTGGGGAGGGCAGGGGTGACGGCAAGCACGTCCGGAGCTCCTCCATGGCCAGCCTGCGCTCCCCCAGCACGAGCGCGAGGTCGGCTCTGAAGAGGGACAGCAAGTCCGAGGACAAGGGGCTGTCCTTCTTCAAGTCCGCCTTGAGACAGAAGGAGACCCGGCGCTCCACGGACCTCGGCAAGACAGCCTTGCTCTCCAGAAAAGCCGGCGGGGGCTCCGCCAAGTCGGGCTGTAAGAACAGCGCGGATGAGAAGGCAGAGCGAGGCCTCCGGCCGCCCGGCTCCCAGCAGCCACAGGCCACACAGGCCACTGTGCTCGGGAAAGAGCCGCTCGTCCCCAAGGACCCCGCCTCCGCTAAACATTCCCTGCTGTCCGCTCGCAGATCCAAGTCTTCCCCGCTCGACTCCGGAGCGCCCTCGTCTCCTGGCGGCAGGCAGCCTGCCGAGAAAGCCTCCAGAAAGTCATCGAGCACCCCTGCACGGCCGTCCCAGAGACCTCAGTGAGGTCGCTGCACACCGAGCGAGCGAGCGAGCGAGCGAGCCAGCGTCTCCTCTGTAAAGATGTTTATTTATTTGGAACCCTGCCCCTCCCACCAAAGCCCGCTCTGCTTTTGTTTTGTATTTTTCGGGTCACATGGCTGACTGCGGGTATGTTTGGGTGGGCGTGGGTGTGTGTGTGTGTGTGTGTGTGTGTGTAGGTGTGTGTGTATGTGAGATAGAATTCAATTGCAAATTGTTAAAAGCGTCGCCTTATTCTGCCATTGAACCAAATAACAGCCATAGGCAAAGCATTGACCCCAAGCTAACTGGAATACTCGTAGCGGTCCTTTGGACAGTCCCCTCTAGCAGTTGTACATATTTCTTTCTGGAGAACTCTGATGACTTTTGGCGGACACTAGGATTTTGAAACCTGTGAAGCAGTGACGCTGGCGTTAGTGAGTAGTGGGGTGAGCTGTTGACTCGGCCTCCCTCTGCCGATTGTCGGGTGGCACCGGGAGCTCTGAAAACTGTGACGCTAACAACGAAACAAACCGAGGGAAAAACTGTTGCTTTCTGCACTTTCCGGCCCATCTTGCAGTCTTTGTAAAGGGCAATATTTTCACACTAATGTTTCTCAGGTATACACTCGGCTGGTCTAGGCTCGATGCGCTTCAGTAACGGGGTTAAAGAGGAGGATGGCACGCGGGTGACTGTTGTTTCTCCTACTGCCACAGACGTTTCAGAGGTCGAAGAGTCTCTCTGCCTTCGTGTCTGCAGAGACGTGTGTGCCATAGTACGTCCTAAGAGGTGGCAAACTGGACAGCCAGAAAGTTCCTTATGAATTTGCTAGCCAAGGCCATGGGGGTTTTAAACTGTAGTGAGGGCAGTTGATACCTTTGGAAGAGTCCTGGAAAAAAAAAAAGGATTCTAAACTGGATGGACGCATCTGTACACTTTCCTTTCCTTTCCCTGTGTTGCTTTCTTTCTGTTGGAAGTTGACCGCTTCGTGCTTCCCCATCTGCACGCTCGTGTTTCCTCGCCTCGTAACGCGGAGAGCACACGTCAGCCGTGGCACGTGGAAGCGGCCGGTGCCAGAGGGTTCCACGCGCACTTCGGGTTCTGCCCGTGGGTCCTAGCTACCACGCTTTGCACTAACTCCCTTGTTTCTCCTCTGTGCTGAAGATGTAATCTCACGCCAGAGCTCACTAGCAGGATTGGAGCGTGTTCCGTCTGGCGGCGTCGTTGCAAACGGCGTTTCTTGTTAAGAAAAAGGAGAACCTACAGATAATCAAGAGACAGCTTTTCCAGCTTTTCTCGAGGTCTCCTGGCAGTACTTTTCTGCTCAATTTTTAGCTTTTCTTCTCTTTATTGTTATTTTTTTAATACCGTCGAGAGAGTCATGGTCCCGATTCTCCCTGGATAGCATTTGTCACTTTGCCATAAAATATGGTGTGCTAAGTTCATATGTTTTTAAAAATCTGAACTTTGGAGGGTGGGTCACAGAGTGTCAGGTTCCTCCTGGGCTCTTGGTGCACAGATTCGTTTGTGTCATCCCTTTTCAGTATTGCTGTGTTTGCAAAGAAAATACACACGTGGAGCTGGAAACCCTGCACTGCCTTCTCGTTCTTTTTATTTTTTTTCTTGAATACCTCTTGGATGTACTTCCAGTAGGTTACTGAACTTTATTTTGCTGCTATTTTGAGCATTCGCTGGTAACTTGCAAGTGCCGAGGCTCTTTGTGTTGAAGGTAGCTTGGAATTTTAGACCTTGGCAATAGCTAAGATGTAACGTATTCGGCCTTCTGAAAGTTAACCACGAGCGCTCCATGGATTTCATCGGATGGGAGCCCGTTTCCCGTGGCACACCCCTGAGGTCCCCCCCCAGTTCTCAGTGACTTCCCAAAGCACTCTGCCGTGCTGGAGGGTGGCCGCGGGGGACTGGCTGCGTCCGTGCCGGTGCCGCCTCCATCGGCCTGCTCACGGCCCCCTCAGTGTTTGTGCTGCAGTGGGCCGGCATGTTCATTCCTGAAGAAGGTGCGCCGGACGTGGGTGGTCGGTGTCAGGAGCGGACTGTCTGCTCTGAGCCTGTCGTCTGTTTACTAGGTAGAGCCCACGTGATACCTCCTGTCTAAGGAAGCTCTGACTTGGTCTAGAGTTATCGTTTGATTAGACAAAGGGTTCCCTTTTTTGTTTTGTTTTTTTTTTTTTTTTTCGACAGGCAGAGTGGACAGTGAGAGAGAGAGACAGAGAGAGAAAGGTCTTCCTTTGCCGCTGGTTCACCCTCCAATGGCCGCCGCTGCAGCCGGCGCACCGCGCTGATCCTGGCAGGAGCCAGGAGCCAGGTGCTTTTCCTGGTCTCCCATGGGGTGCAGGGCCCAAGCACCTGGGCCATCCTCCACTGCACTCCCTGGCCATAGCAGAGAGCTGGCCTGGAAGAGGGGCAACCGGGACAGAATCCGGCGCCCCAACCGGGACTAGAACCCGGTTTGCCGGCGCCGCAAGGTGGAGGATTAGCCTATTGAGCCACGGCGCCGGCTTAGACAAAGGGTTTTAATAAACACTCTTTCGCTGTAGCCAGACAAGCATTAATAGAAGCTGGTTTAATTTTCACAGTGGTAATTTTTTTTTTATTCTCGAATTCTCTAGGAATGTGTTTTCCATTATGTCCAGTGTTTTGAGGGGGAAAAAAAGAAAACCTCCAGAACTCCCTTTACGTCTCATGAGCTCTAGAAATAAAATTTCTATAATTTAATAAAATCTGTAAACTATCTGTCTTTGGAGTTTAGTCCTTGTTTCAGATTTGCTGGAATAGAAAAAGAAAACAGGAACTGTTATGGCGTTGCCTAGGCATCGTTAAGCCATTGTGTTTCCCTGGTTGGTGAACAGTGGAAATTTCATTGTCCCTACCTACGTGGTACAACTGTAAGCCACAGAAAAGGATATTTTGCCTAAAATCTGGGAGGCCCTTTTTGGGGCATAAAGTATCTTAAGGGAAGATTGTTCACTTAGTTCAATTCAGTTGCTCTGTAGGGTTAGGGACGTATGTTTACCTTTTTATTTTCCCAGTGATACTTGGCAAAATGAACATTTTTGTGTTTTGGGGTTAAAACTCGTTTGCCAACTTAGGTTTCTGGTTGACACCCAGGGCCTGCTGAGAGCAGGTGTGTCCTGGTAGGCACCGAGTGGTCGCCTGCAGTAGTGCTGTATCTGTAGTGTTGCTTTAAAAAGAAAAGGCGTCTCTTCTTGATTTCTTTCTGCCAGTGCCCTAGCTTGGCTCGTTCCTTCAGGCCCTGCCCTTAGATAACTTGGAAGCACAAAGAAACCACTGGCAGGCGCCTCTCACCTGACCAGGTCTCCCACCCCTTTTGTGTTTTCTCATCCTAAAAGCAGCTTAACCTGAAGTGAGAACAAACACGTGGCCCAGCAGGGCCGGGTGTGGGACTGCCGCTTGCCTGAAGCACTGTGATTACCAGTGCATGGCTTCACACTTGTTGGTAGCCATTCTTTCTTCTTTCATTCATTGTGCAGACGTTCACGGAGAGCCTGCTTTGCCTGTCAAGGCACAGCTGACCGCCTCGGGAACTTGCTAAGGAGGAGCCTGGGGAGTACCACCCGGATGTCCCTGCCGGTCCTCGGTAAAAAGACCACGTGGACTCTGGTCCGTCAGCTCCTCTGGAGCCGGTCAGCTCTGTCTGGAAACCGGAAGACCCCTGCTTTGTCTCTGGAGACATTTTACTCCCACAGTTGAGATGGAGCTGTCTGCACCGTGGAGGGGTGGGAGATCCACTGCCCAGTCGCTTTACGTTAGAATTTGGTCATCTCCGTTTGTATGGCATTGGTGTGGGGGCTTTCTGGGGAACTGGGAAGAATTGTCATCCCTCTGTAATAACTGTCATGACAAAAGGCACAGTGTGTAAAGGGAACAGTAGCTGCAGCTGTGACCAAGCTCCCGTGAGTTCCAAATAAATGTGTTTCTAAATGGACATGTAACATTTCACTCTAATTACTGAACTCCTGAAGTTACTGTTTCCTACATAGGTTATTATAATTAATGGGTGCAAAGATCATTAGTGTTTTGGGTTGGACTTCTGAGACAGTGTGCAAATTCTGAGCACCGTTTCATCAAACCACATTCCGGAGGTGCATTGAACTTTGTGTTACTTGGAATTGAGAAGGGCAAAATGTATTGACAAACCAGTGCCTATCATAAGCATAAATATAAAAAGTAGCTATTACCGTGCAGGCTTTAATTTCATAAAGGGCATATTATTGTTAAACCTGACTACATATTGGGGGGGGGGATCCAATGCTTTTATTTGAACGAACATTCTGTGTCTCACACTGCCTTTTGATCAACTCCCAAAATGTTCGTTTTTGCAGCTGCATTTGAGCATGACCGATCATCTCTGTCCCAAGTAACAGTTTTTTTGCATGGCCTCCATCTAACCCAGAACGCATGCTCTTACTACCTATGCAAGCAACCCATGAAAAATACAGACTTTACAAAATGTTAAGTTTTAAAAAAAGCAACAACAACGAAAAAGGCCACTCTTAGGTTATGGAGCTCTATTTTTGAATTTGTAACGTTTTACAATGTGGCTTAATCAGTATAGGAGCGCATGAATGTGTTGTCTTGCTTTACATATATTTCTCTGACGACGTTTTTGATCAAACGTCTCTGATGAGGTTTTTGATCATTGGCAAGATTGTGTGTAAAATAAGTGTTTTGCAAGCAGAAGTGGAACTGACTATGTTGAACACATATCGGTGTATATACTGTATTTAGCCTGAAGACTTTCCCAAAGTATTTTGTTCTAAAAAATAACCTGCCATTTTCTATAGATTTTAATTTTTTATATCTTCTAGAGTTCTCTCGTCACCAGGAAAGACTGGGGCTTCAAACAGTGCTAATGATTTTCAAATGCTTTCGTAGAGACTTGGATTTGTTCTGGAAGGCCCTGGAGAGACCCATCCCCTGGTTACAATAAGATTAAGGCCCGAGGGACTCGGGGGTGTCGTACAGCGGGTAGATTCTAGATCCATCTCTCATTCACCTAGAACCAGTGTTTCCCAGTTTGGGGGAGGAGAGGGGTTCCTAAGAGGCCTTTTAGAATGGCACATGTAGGCCTCTCCTGAATGACTTGTCTGAGATCGGGGCACCCAGTGTTCCCTGGAATCATTGCCAGGAAACGTTGGGAAATGGGGGCGGTCCCCAAATTGCCTCCTGTTTTCCAGCCCTGGTGTTCCCAGGCGGCGGTCGGAGCTGTGATCCTCCGTCCCTTTGCTGAGAGCCGAGGCGAGATCACTGCC